TTACTTGATACAGCTGTCGTGGCTGTGACGGTACCACCTGAAGACGGAAGCTTGTGTTGCCTCCGAAACGTCGTGATTTTTATTTTATTTTACTTTTTATTGTTTTTACCTACGTGACTTTACCGAAAAAACCTAAGAATATGAATCATTACAGTCACGAAAGCTTCAAATCTAGAATTAGTGTATAGTAGTGTATAGTGTAGTGTATCATAGTGTATAGTGTAGTGTATAGTAGTGTATAGTGTAGTGTATAGTAGTGTATAGTGTAGTGTATCATAGTGTATAGTGTAGTGTATAGTAGTGTATAGTAGTGTATAGTGTAGTGTATAGTGTAGTGTATAGTAGTGCATAGTGTAGTGTGTAGTGTAGTGTATAGTAGTGTATAGTGTAGTGTATAGTGTAGTGTATAGTAGTGTATAGTAGTGTATAGTGTAGTGTATAGTGTAGTGTATAGTAGTGCATAGTGTAGTGTGTAGTGTAGTGTATAGTAGTGCATAGTGTAGTGTGTAGTGTAGTGTATAGTAGTGTATAGTGTAGTGTATAGTGTAGTGTATAGTAGTGTATAGTGTAGTGTATCATAGTGTATAGTGTAGTGTATAGTAGTGTATAGTATAGTAGTGTGTAGTAATGTATAGTGTAGTGTATAGTAGTGTATAGTAGTGTATAGTGTAGTGTATAGTGTAGTGGATAATAGTGTATAGTGTAGTAGTGTATAGTAGTGTATAGTGTAGTGTATAGTAGTGTGTAGTAGTGTATTGTAGTGTATAGTGTAGTGTATAGTAGTGTATAGTGTAGTAGTGTGTAGTAGTGTATTGTAGTGTATTGTAGTGTATAGTGTAGTGTATAGTAGCGTATAGTGTAGTAGTGTATTGTAGTGTATAGTGTAGTGTATAGTAGTGTATAGTAATGTATAGTGTAGTGTATAGTGTAGTAGTGTGTAGTAGTGTGTAGTAGTGTATAGTGTAGTGTATAGTGTAGTGTATAGTGTAGTGTATAGTAGTGTAGTCGTGTATAGTAATGTAGAGCTAGAGTCTGTCGCCAGGCAAAGGGGGTTCTGGAGCGCCAGACTCAGCACGCTGCTGCCGCCACCGCAACCATCAGCAGGACAAGCGGACTGAGACACGAACAGACGAATCCGATGGCGCTCTTTGTCGCAGATGTCCAGAGCGGGGCGGGTCAACGAGTTACATAAACAAGGTGACCTTTAAAATCAGATTAATCTGCCTTTAGTTTGTAACGAATGTGATGTATAAATAACCACACGTGGTTGTGTGTGTAGCCCGCGTGCCCGGTCACCGCATGCCTAAGTAGGTTTTGTTCGGCCGGATAGAGGGGGCTAAACGGGAGCGGTATTGGCTAGGGAAGAGATGGAACGATGTGGTACAGGAGGACGTGGAGCTGAGTGGACTTGCCGATGACTGGTACCAGCGGTGTCAAGATCGGCCTCTGTGGAGGAGGCTCGTGAAGGACGCTGCTATTGGACAGTTGGAGGCAGAAGCCCTCCAGCAACAACGGAGGGCAGAGGAGCGACGCTCACAACAACGAGCGGGGCGCCGGGTGGATAAAGCACAGCAAATCGGCGCAGTAGGGGGCGTAGGTGGTGCATCAGCCAGTCATCTGAGTCAGTCGACCCATGGCACCTGTGGGTCTCCGCTTGCAGGAGGTCCCGTGACCTCCTGCAAGCGGGCATTCGACACTTTAAAGTGCACCTAGCCTGGCACAAGCGCTGTGGTGACGTCACCGCCACTCAGTGGCGAATGGCGCTTGTTGTTGTTGTGGCCAAGCTGCGAGCCGCGCGGTGTCCCGCATACCCGCACGTGCGCCGCTCCCGTGGCGTAGTTCTGAGGTTCGTGATGTGCCCCGAGCTGATTACGCCGCAGAGGGATTTAAACACATTCCTGCGGAGGGAGCTGGTCGGAACGTTGGGTTGCTCGGTCCATGGCCAGGGTCAACGGCGGCGTGGTGTATTCCGCAAATATGCCCGACTGTGAGGGCAGGCACAAGCCGGTGTGAGTAGGTTAAACGTTGAGTTTTATAAGGGCACCACGGGGTGACCAGCCCCTCCCCACCCAGCCCCTCTCCTCCCACCCCCACCCAGCCCCACCCTCCCCTCCCCACCCAGCCCCACCCTCCCCACCCAGCCCCTCCCCACCCTCCCCTCTCCACCCAGCCCCACCCCTCCCATTTTTGAATTAACGACGGACGGACGGACACAATAATCCCCTGTGGGCTGGTGGAACCAGGTGGTTCCTCCCAGTAATATTCAGCTTTGGTTTGTGTTTTATGCAATTTTTGTTGAGATCACTTTGCGTGAACGCAGTGGTTTTTGTTACGATTGCTCTTCAAGTCACGGCTGTACTTATTTGTTTTGCTTTCGATTCTTTGCGGCGAACCGGGTCGGTCGTGAGAAAATCAGATTCGACACCAGGGGTGGGGAACCTTTTTTCTGCCAAGGGCCATTTGGACATTTACAACATCATTCGCGGGCCATACAAAATTATCAACTTAAAAATGTGCCTGTTATATTTGGTCAAACATTTAATTAACTCACCCCTAATGCGATGGCTGGAACTGCTTCTCTTTGGCGAGGCGTGTGATGTGAGCTGGTATTGGTGACGTTGCTGCTACTCGCAACTGCTAACCGGCAATTAGTTGCCTTGGCAGGTCCACACCAAATGATTTCGCGGGGCCCTATACGACCCGCGGGCCGGACGTTCCCCACCCCTGTTCTACACGAACTCTCTCGCGTGCTCACACGGAATGCAGTGCGCTGGGACCGCCCTCGGCTTGACATCGTCTCTCTCCGAGGCCGCGGGGAGTCAACGCCGCGGCCTCTGCCGACTCAGTCTCGGCCGAGTCGGCGTGTGCCCTGCGGCCACGTCGCCTCACTCGCCTGGCCCGGGACATCCCCGCCCGGTCCACCAAACCGCGCTGCAGCTCACAGCCACGCGGATCCAGGGGGGAGGAGGAGGAGAGGGGCGGGGCAAGGTGGGGGTAGGGGGCTATTCGACTGTTTGCCTCCACGGAGTCTTAACAGGTGGAGAGGGGGGGGGCAATAGTAATCCCCCCCTGCCCCCCTGTGGCACCACCTGGGGGGACCCCCTCCCCCTACCATGCACCGGGAGCCCCCCTCCCGCCCCTCCTGCAGCCCCCCACTCAAGCGGCAGTGCCCCCCCCCCCTGTGCAGTCCACGTGCCCTCGTACCAAAGCGGGGAAGGGCGAGGGGGTGCAATAGGGGGGGCGGAGGTGAGAGGGGGAGGGTGGGGGCGAGCCCCTCCCCCCCATCCTCCCTCCCCCCATCCTCCCCTCCCACGTGGCGTGAGTCTGCGGGCTTAATCTCAAACGTACAGAACAGCACGGATTAAACATCTCCGGTGTCAGACGATTTCTTTTCAAAACATTTCGCGAATATCCACCCAGCCACCCAGAGAGAGAGAGAGGGGCGCACCTCGTCCACACGTCTCCCGGCTCGTCACCCCGCGGACTCCCACGCCGCGCGACGACACGTGTCGCAGTGCTGCTGCTGCTGCTGGTGACAGCGGCGCGCGTTGTCGACACAGACAGAGGGCATCTCTCATCCCCTCGCCGCCAGCTCCCCGGGGGATCAGGCCGGAGGGGGGGGGGGGGGGGACCGACTGTGACGGGGTTCTTGGACCCGGTCGGGATTGCCGATGTCTGCTGCCGTCCCAGGTAGGGCAGCTTCGATCGCGTCGTCGTCGTCCGCCAATGAAGAGGGCCCCCCCCCCAGGGACTCGATGGGTTCATAATGGCCTGTTCGGAGCCACCACCACCCCCCCCCCCACCGCCGAGCGCCTGGGTTCGAGCCCAGCGGCTGGGCGTCTCTCTCGGGCGGATCGTATTGTCTGGGCTCAGGGGCTTTGACCCAGCACGGCTAAGAATCCTGACTCAGTCCTATGTTGCCGGGTCTCTGAGTGAGGGAGTGGGGGGCGGGGGGGGGTCACAATGGCTGTCAGAGGCGCTGACAAGAAGCCTGGGTTTCATCCCCGGTTTCTGGGCCGTTTTGGCGTCGCGATTTGGTAGTCTCAGCTCCACCGCGTACCGAATTGGGACAACGCAACACGCAACACGGGTCGGAGTGTCCCGACAACCACCGAGGTGGCAGGAGAGCGACGCGGGATCGCGAACCCACCCACAGGTGTCGCTCCTGCGCAGAGCGAAACACGGCGCGGTTCGAAGCGAGGCTGTGGAAGTCCATCACCTCTCGAGGTGTTCATGTAAGCCACGGGGCATCGCGGGGACAATCGTGACGCGTACCAGCGGCAGCGCGCTCGCTCACTCGCTCGCCTCTTGTAGTCGAGGGTTTTCGCGGTTCGAACAAAATAAATCCGGCGGCCGACCCGGTTAATACCGCGGGCGCATTGACCGTAACGTGGTAGGCGCCGTCTTGATTTGAAGCTTTCGTGACTGCAGGAATCCATACTCTTTGGTTCTTTCGGTAAAGTCACGTAGGTAGAAAATAAAATAAATCACGACGTTTCGGGCGCAACACACGGACGCTTGTGTTGGGCCCGAAACGTCGTAATTTATTTTATTTTATACCGACGTGACTTTACCGAAAGAACCAAAGAGTGTGGTAGGCGCCGTCCGCTACACGGGTGGGCGTCGAAGATTTTGGTGGCGTCATTCGCAAGAGCGAGGCCACACTGTGCGCCGACGCCGCCACGGTGCCAAAATGGGCAACATTTCCCAAGATCGCCCTCGACTGCAAAACCGTGGCGCGGGACCCCCCTGAAAAGGAGTCAGGGGACTTCGGTGAGGCGCTCACGAGTGGACGAGCGTTTGCACATCAACATCAAATGTCAAAGGACACGGACAAACTCGCCGGACGGGGCGGACTACAGGCATACCGAGGGCATCGGGACACGGGGGGACGGGACTGCCCCCCCCCCTTGCACCGCACACTCCTCCCCCCGCCCCTTGGGGAGTCGTGGCCCCCTCCACTGCCCTCCCCCAGGGGGTCTTCTTGCTCTCTGCCGAGTCAGCGCAGGGAGACACGGGGACGGCCACGTGTGGCTCGGATGGGTCGCGTGCACGATGAGTACACGCCTCTGAGCGCGCGCGCGCGTGTGTGTGGGGAGCGGTGGTGCAGTGGTTAGCGAGCTGCGCTACGAACTTGGCCACCCATGCTCGTGACCAACACCGGTGACGATTATCCGAACCGGTTCTGGGCCTCCCTTAGGTCGACTCATCCTCAAATGAGTACCTGCTGCGCTGTGTAAACATCGCCGCTAGGGAGACAAAGAAGGTCGGGCGTGGTGCTGACCACCTGCCCCCTTGGTTCTGGCCTGCATAGGTGCTCGCTAACAGAACTTTCCCCAACAGTCTGTGAAGGCTCCATGTGGAATGTTTGTCTTTGTTTTGCCTGTCTGTTCTACTCTTTAAGTGTTCCATTAACCAACTCAAGACCTCGGATGTCCCCCTGTGGGGTCACGCCGCCGTCGCCATCCCAGAATCTCAGCCAGATCCGAAAGGACGCTGACGAGCAGTGGAAGAGCGCAGATATCGAGAATGAACACCTCGTATGAGACCCCACACAGCGCAACCTCCTGGCTCTGGCACTCCTCGTGGAACCATCAGTCGCATCAGGACATCAACAGGCTGCGGCGCACATCGCCTTCCAAGGCCGTAGCCATGGAGTCAACTTTGGGGGGGGGGACCAAATCTTCCAGGGGTGTCTGGGGGTCCCCCCCCCCCCAGAAAAAAATCTAAATTTTTAAATGAATTTCCTGGTATTTCCTGCCTAAACTTTTTTTAAATTCACGAACACATAGGATTGACTTTGTGTTTATTTTTAACAATAATGTCTAATAGTGCATTGTATTACATTGCTCTGGTTTTTTTTACCATTTCTTGTTTCATTGTATGTAATGGCAGAGATGAGGGATTTATCAAGTACAACCATAACCACAATCATATAAACAGAAATCTATTTTAGAGCAATATATTTGGGGAGACATTTTGAGCATATTTTAATATATATTATAATTACGGCCTTGTCGCCTTCATTCATGGAAAATGAAAGGCACGGCACAGCGGAGTGACTGGCCATGCAGCCATAGCTATGAACTAAACTCTGTAGTAAACCCGTGGAGACCTATCAATATGCCTTTAGACCCACAGAAGCGCATAGAGGCCCTTGAAGATTCACAGATACCCATCGAAACACGTTACAAACAAGCCGCAGCATTGCGACTGCGGCCATGCAAGCCACACTGGACCCGCACAGTAAACCCCTCCGCGGTCCGCACTCCGTCAACGGAGGAGGAGGAGGAACAGCGACACGAACTCTCTGTCTGCTGAAGCCCTCTCGTCGTGGCGAGTAGCAGACCTCGACATTGCCATCGAGCTCCTGGACACACTGCCCCAAGCAAGAATAGAAAGGTCACGTAGCCTGACATCAACGCAACCGCCCATTCGTGACATAACCGGCAATTAGTTTCAAATGGCGCATGTCTGTGTGCGGGTGTGGGGATCGCTGGCCCAGTGGTTAGTGCACCGCACAACGAACCCGGCCACCTGAGTTTGATTCCTGGCCACGGTCGCCATCAGTGGCTCGGAGTGAGTCCGGTGCCGCGCGCGAGCCTCGTCACCGTGCCGGCCTCGCTTGGTGCTCGCTAACAGCTCGTGCGCCTGCGCCGTGCGCGTCTCTAGATGTGTTCACCGTGGAGGACGCCGTGGAGGCCATCGGCTTCGGCAAGTTCCAGTGGAAGCTGTCCATGGTCACCGGCCTGGCCTGGGTGAGACCATGACCCCTAACCCTCAACCTCTAACCCTAACCCCGAGCATGACCCCTAACCCTGCATCACGAGCGAGTGTGGCGCGTCGTGACGGAGGGCGAGGGAGCGCTCGAGGGAGTGCGGCGGGGCTGATGTTTCTCCGTGGATAGAGAGTTATATCTCCCCCCCTCCCCTCTCTTTGTTCCCGGTGGCCGCTCAGATGGCGGACGCGATGGAGATGATGATTCTCTCCATCCTGGCGCCGCAGCTGCACTGCGAGTGGCAGCTGCAGACCTGGCAGGTGGCGCTCATCACGTCGGTGAGGGCACCCCCACGCCACCCGCATCCTCGCCATCGCCGCCTTGTTTGCATCGTCGTGTCCCGTTTTGATCTCTCTCGTTTGTGCCCCCCTCCCCGTGTGTCGCCCCCCCCCCCCCCCCGTGCCGGCAGGTGGTGTTCATCGGGATGATGCTGAGCTCGTCGCTGTGGGGGAACTTCGCGGACCAGTACGGCCGCAAAATGGTAACCGCGGCTCCAACTCCAAACGGGGGCCACGGCGAACCCGGGCCCCCTGCTCACTCGGCCCGCACGCAGCTCGTGTGCGCCCTGCTTGATTGCTCGATGCCCGTGTGCCGCAGCACGCATCTCCCCCCATTGCTCGCCAATTCTCCCCGTGTCTCCCCACGCATCCGGGTATCTCACCATGCGTGTGGTCCCCCCCCCCCGTGCGTCTCCCCATGGCCGTGCAGGGCCTGAAGCTGAGCGTGCTGTGGGCCCTCTACTACGGGATACTGAGCGCGCTGGCGCCCGTCTACGGCTGGATCCTGCTGCTGCGCGGCCTCGTCGGCTTCGGCATCGGAGGGATTCCTCAGTCGTGAGCGGCACGCGCGTGCGCGTGCGTGTTCTGCACACGCGCGTGTGCATCTGTGGGGGAGCGGTGGTGCCGCGGTCAGTGCCCCGAGCTACCGACCCGGCGACCCGAGTTCGATTCCCGCTCGCGGCCAACACCCATCCTGAACCGGTCCTGAACCTCCGCTAGGTTGACTCAACCTCAAATGATTACCCGGTGCGATGTGTAAACGTCACCACGAGGGAGACGGAAGCAGCCAGGCGTGGTGTTGGCCACCCACACCCCTCGTGTGTCGTGCTGGCCTTTAGAGGCGCTTCTCGCCAAAAGCACTTGCCCCAACAGTCTGCCAAGGCTATCCGGGGGATCTCTGCCTTTGTGCGTGCACGTACCTTGGTATGTGTCCATGCACGCAGACGAAGATGTTTTCACATTTCGTCCCATTGGGGCTAAAAATTCGCTCTTTCAACGGAGACGGACACGTGGGTGTTCCCACGCTGGTCGGGTCCGAGTCGGCGGAGTCCGTGGTGGTCGCGCTCCCGTTGCTCCCAGGGTCCCTCGCGTGCGATCGCGGGTGCCGGGCCGGCAGTCTAACCCAGGGACCCCCCCCGCCCCCCTTCCCGCAGGGTCACGCTGTACGCAGAGTTTCTCCCCATGAAGGCACGGGCCAAGTGCATCGTCCTCATCGAGGTGAGCGCTGACGCGGCGGTAGCGCGGAATGCTCGCCGGCGCTCACGATTTAAGCTGTCGGCTGCCGACGAAATGTTTCGTTGCGTTGGCCGCTTAGTTGTGATTTTCGGGGAATTATTTTGGCAAGAAAGAAATCAACTTTGGGAACCGTCAGGTGGGAAAAATGGTCCGGCTGGTCGTCGGTCCGCCGCTCACGCCGGTCTGGCCGTCGAGCGTGGGGTCGGCGCTCGCCAGACGGTGCCCTCCGCTCGCCCAGGAAAGCCTCGGCGAGCCTAGAGACTCGCTTCCAGGAGGCCCCTGCTACACTGGGACGTTTGGGCAAATTCGGGAGGGCGGGTGGGGCCCCCGCCCGATGAGGCCACCGCCGGCGCGCCGCCCGAGGGAGCTCGCGACGCCGTTCTCGCTCGTCCAGATCTTCTGGGCCTTGGGCGCGGTGGCCGAGGTGCTGCTGGCGATCGTGGTGATGCCGACGCTGGGCTGGCGCTGGCTGCTGGGCCTCTCCGCCATCCCTCTCGTCGTCTTTGCCGTCTTCTCCTTCGTGAGTGCCGCCCCGGCCACGCGCCCTACACGTCGACCTCCGACCCTTAACCCCAGCGTCCGATTCCTGATCCTGACCTCGAGCACCCTCAACCTCAGGCATTTGTTGATTTACTCCCCCCCACCCCCCCCGAACGATCCCACGAATTGTCATGATTCGTGGTAACAATTCGAGAGTCAAGTATTTGATTTCTCATGAGCACCACATCGCGCGGAATGCTTCTCTCGTCTGCGTCGGCCTCGTTGCTTTGCGGATGGTAAATAAGGACGCCAGCTGGTGCTCACGTGGGCCGAGCGAGTGGTGGCGAGCGGGCCGTGCGGTGAGGGAGCAGTGTCGTCGGTGTGTGCCGTGGCGCAGTGGCTGCCGGAGAGTGCACGCTACGACGTGCTGACGGGAAACGCGGAGCAGGCTCACGCGACGCTCAAGCGCATCGCCACCGAGAACGGGGTGCCCATGCCCCTCGGCAAACTCACCTCGTCGCAGCAGGTGAAGGGCGCAACGCTCGCCTCCTCGCAGCAGGCGGCGTCGCCTGTGCATGACCGCAATGGGTGGCGCGCGTGCACTTACACACGTGCAAGGAGAGAGAGATCCCCCGTGCTACCGTGATAGACTGTTGGGGGCGAGTGGCGTGAGCGAGCAGCTGTGGTGGCATGTGTGGTGGCATGTGTGGTGGCATGTGTGGTGGCGTGTGGTGGCGTGTGGTGGCATGTGTGGTGGCGTGTGGTGGCATGTGGTGGCATGTGTGTTGGTGTGTGGTGGCATTTGTGGTAGCGTGTGTGGTGGCATGTGTGGTGGCATGTGGTGGCGTGTGGTGGTATGTGGTGGCATGTGTGGTGGCGTGTGGTGGCATGTGGTGGCATGTGTGTTGGCGTGTGTTGGCGTGTGGTGGCGTGTGGTGGCATGTGGTGGTATGTGTGGTGGCATGTGCTGGCATGTGGTGGCGTGTGGTGGCATGTGTGGTGGCATGTGGTGGCATGTGTGTTGGTGTGTGGTGGCATGTGTGGTATCGCGCACCAGGAGAAGAGGGGGCGGTTCCAGGACCTCTTCACGCCACAGCTCAGAGTCACCACCCTGCTTCTGTGGTTTATCTGGTGAGCACATCACCGCACGTCACCGCACATCACCGCGCGTCACCGCTCCGTGCCCTTTGTGCTGATGCGACCTCTCGCCCTGTCCGCTCTCCCGTCCGCCCTCCCGTCAGGTTCTGCAACGCGTTCTCCTACTACGGCCTGGTGCTGCTCACCACGGAGCTCTTGCAAGCCGGCGATGTCTGCCGCGGTACGCCCCGAAACTTGGCGCCGTTCACCGAGTCGGCGGTCGCTGACCTCGCGTCACGGCCGCCGAAGCCATCCCACGGGTGACACCAAAAGCCTCTCGCTGGCATCGGTGCTGAACCGCGCGGTACAATCCGGAGTTCGGAGCGGCTCCAGCCGGAAGAGCGGCCGTCGCAGTTCGGAAACGGCAACCCGTGCCGCGGGGAGAGCGGCGTGCGTGCCAGTGGGCGCACTGCTCGCGGCGATGCGGACTCACCGACTCACCGACTCGCGGACTCGCGGACTCGTGGACTCGCGTACCCCGGGGCTCCGGTTCTTTTGCTGTATCATTCCAGGCCCTAAAATTCCGGCTAATTCTATAGCAGGATCGTGAGAGATGGTGGCAGAATTGGGAGTTCTTTATCCCTCAGCGGACCGTGGTGATGATGATTCCAGGAGGTGGCACGTTGACTCGTATCTACGGCCTTAGTGAGCCGTACACTGGATGCGGTATTCTGGATAAGAAATGTTTCCAGGGTCGCCCACCCGGACAGACCCCTTCTGAATTGGATCCCTGCTTGCGGTCCCGTGGAATTGGTCGATCATGACGAGTCGTCCCATGGACGTCCAAGAGTCGACTCTGTCGCCGTGTGTTCTCACTCATCGGTCCTTCCCGTTGTTTACCGTGTAATCGTGACTGTTTGGCTTTTCGCTCATAGCCAGAGTTTCATCTCAGTGGTACCATTTGCATATAATTTGTGTTAAATGTAAACCTTAGTCATGGGCCTCCCCTAGGTTTGACTCAAATACATACCTGGTGCAGTGTGTAGACATAAGCGTGGGGAAGACAAAGGCGGCCAGGCGTGATTCTGGCCACCCACCCCCTTCGTAGATGCTACTCGCTAACAGAACTTGTTAAAGGCTACACGGGGGACATGTGTCTGTGTCTGTGGGGAGGCAGCGCGCGCGGAGGGCGACGCGGTGACTCCGCGCTGTAGCCTCGAGTGTAAATACCTGAGCAACGACGACTACCTGGACCTGCTGTGGACAACGCTTGCCGAGTTCCCCGGTACACGCTCGCATGCGCACGCAAACACATGCACACTCACGCACACACACGCGCACTCATGCACACAACAACAACCGCCATTCGCCACGAAGTGGCGGTGACGTCACCACGGCGCTTGTGCCAGGCATTGTGCACGTTAAGGCCATGTGAAGTGTCGAACGCCCGCTGGCAGGAGGTCACAGGGCAGACTCAGTTGCCATGGGTCGACTGACTGAGATGACTGGCCGATGCACCACCTGTGCCCCCGACTGTGCCAACTTGCTTTAGCCACCCGGCGCTCCGCTTGTTGTTGTGAGCGTCACGCCTCCGCCCTCCATTGTTGTTGGAGTGCGACTGCCTCCAATTGCCCAGTAGTGTCCTTCACGAGCCTCCTCCACAGAGGCCGATCTTGACACCGCTGGTACCAGTCATCGGCAAGTCCACTCAGCTCCACATCCTCCTGTACTACATCACTCCATCTCTTCTCTAGCCCGTGCCGCGCCCGTTTAGACCCCTCTCTCCGGCCGAACAAAAGCTGTTTAGGCATGCGGTGGCTGGGCATGCGGAAAACATGACCCAGCCAACGCAGCCTTGCCTGCCGGAGGAGCTCACAGATGGGACCTTGTCCAGATCTTTCAAGGATTTGTGAGCTCCTCACACAATCCAGCCTGGTTAAACTCAGGATGGATCGTAGACAGGCCAGCCTAAATCCGGCAATTACCAGATCATCGCCATCGATCAGCCTCCGACTGTATCTGTACCAGATGGAAATTCCTCCGGTACAGCCATCGAAGGCTTCACGAACTACATGGTCGAAATAGATGTTAAATAATGTGGGAGCCAGAGGACATCCCTGTCGCACTCAAAGGTGAACTGGAAATGGCTGACTCCCAGCCACGTAGTTTTACCCGGGCCCGCTCATCATCATGAGCAGAGAAGAGAGTCAGGGACTCCGAAAGCACGAAGAACAACCCAGAGCCCAGGCCTACTGATGTTATCATAGGCCTTGACCAGGTCAATAAAGCAGAGATGTAGGTCTTGTTGGAATTCCCTACACCGCTGCTGTAACAGACGGACAGAAAATCTGGCATCTGTGCAGGACCACCCTTTCCTGAAACCACATTGGGGCTCTGCAAGCCTGTCCTCAGCGTGCCTGGCAAGGCGATGTTGAATAATCCTTGCCAGGACCTTTCCCGGCACACTGAGGAGTGAGATGCCCCTGTAGTTATTACAGTCTGTGCGGTCCCCCTTCTTAAACAGGGGGACTACCAGGGCAGACTGTGCACAAACGCCACCCTCCCTCAGCATTTTGCTTAGTACTTCCTCAACAGATGGCACCTCAGCCAGCCACTCACAGGGGGTGACTACTTCTTCCAATATATGAGGCACGGCAGCCTCAGCAGGGTCATCTCTACTTTTCCCCATGATTTTTTCTAGGCTGAGGGATGTCCCCTAGCCAAAGACCTCTCAAAAATGCTCAGCAAATCTGCAAACCTGTTCCTGGGGGTCGGAGATTGGATCACCATTATTTATCCTAATGATGGTGATAGGTGTGGTACTACAAGTTACTTTTATGATGGAATTAAAGAGTGATTTGTGATCGCGGGCCACCGAGGGAGATTCCATCTCCTCAGCAACCTGCGACCACCACCCATCCTTGCTGTGCCTCATGGCTCTCCGAACCTCCGAGCAAAGGCTGCGGTAAGCCTCCTCATTCTCTTATGTGGGATGCTGTAGACGATGAGAGAGGGCCTGTCGCTTTTTATCAGCCAGCCTGAACACCTTTTCTGTCAGCCAGGGTTTCTGGGGAGGTCTGGGCTGTGTACCCAAGGCAGCCATTGCAGCTGCGTGAGCCACAGTCCTAAACCTCACCGATTTCCCCTCGACATCCGGAGGAGTGGAGGACGATGCCAACCGCAGCTGCAAGCGATGATGAAATTCTCGCTTGCCCCGAGGGGAAAGGATTCAGTCTCCTGACGCCGCCAAATGGCGTTTGGCCAGGAGACGTCATAGACGCCTGTTCCCCTGGGGCCTCCGGCACAAGCTTCGTTTGATATTTTATTCGTAGTATATTGGTACCATTTGGCCGCTATGGTGGCTACAAACGCCATGAGGGGAATGGCCAATCGAAATTGGCCCTCTCCCCAATTACCGTCCGGCACCAACGAGGAGGTAGGGCGTTGTTTTGCCTGACCATGCACACACACGCGCACACACACACGCACACACACGCACACACGGGAGCACACACACGCGCACACACGGGAGCACACACACACGCGCACGCACACACACACACATACGCGCACACACACGCACACACGCACACACACGCACACACACGCACACACATGCACTCTCTCACGCACACACACGCGAGCACGCACACACACGCGCACGCACACATACACGCGCACACTCATTCGTATTGATGCACACACACGCGCAATCACTCACGCACGCACACGCGCACACACACTCACACTCACGAAAACACACACGCACACTCGTGTGTACTGACGCACACACGCGCGCACTCACGCATGCACACACGCATGCACACACACGCACACCCACACACGGGAGCACACACACACGCGCACACTCGTGCGTACTGACGCACACAGGCGCATCCGTGGGCCTCTGTATGGATCTGTGTGGTCTGTGGGAGTCTGCGGGGACCCGTGGGGGTCTGCAGGGGTCTGTCGGGATATGTGTCTCCGTGGGGGTCTGCAGGTATTCTCGTCACGCTCTGGTTCATCGATCTGATCGGCCGCAGGAAGACCATGGCGCTGTCGTTCTTCGTCTTCTCATTCTTCGTCTTCTTGCTCTTCACCTGCGTGAGCAGGTGCGTGTGTGCGTGTGTTTCTGCAGGTGTGTGTGTTTCTGCAGATGTGTGTGTGTTTCTGCAGGTGTGTGTGTGTGTGCAGGTGTGTGTGCAGGTGTGTGTGTGTGTGTGCAGGTGTGTGTGCAGGTGTGTGTGTGTGTGCAGGTGTGTGTGGGGAGTGCTACGCTACGAACCCGGCAACCCGAGTTCAATTCCCCCTCATGGCCAACACCACGGTGACGATTATCTGAACTGATTCTGGGCCTCTCCCCGATCGACTCAGCCTCAAATGAGTACCTGGTGCGGCGTGTAAACGTCGCCACTGGGAGACAAAGGCGGCCGGGTGTGGTGCTGGCCACCCACCCCTTCGTGTGCCGTGTCGGTCTTCATAGGTGCTCACTAACAACACTTGCCCCAACAGTCTCTTCAGGCTGTATGGGGGTTTTATCTTTGTGCAGTAGTCTAGAGGTTAGCGCGCTATGCTATGACGAATACTTGACCCAGTGCCACTCATGGCCATCATCGGTGACGAATACTTGACCCAGTGCTGTGCCTCCCCTAGGTCGGCTCAGCCTTTAAATAAGTGCCTGGTGTGGTGCTGGCCACCCACGCCCTCGTGTGCCGTGTCGGCCTTCAGTTTCATGAAGGCTCCACAGGGGGTCTCTTTAGCATCTCTGTGGAGATCACCACCACCCTGACGAACACCGCTGCAGCAAATCAGAGGGTTGATCCGGACAGACGGATGGACCCCTCACGCAGAGCCAGGCGAGAGGCGATTGAGGAGCAGGGGTCCGTCACGGGGGTCGTGGCTCCACCGCATCGACCGCTGATGAAGAGAGACTGGGTGGGGGGGGGGAGGGCATTGGCAGCGGCCGCCGCTCCGCGCCTGCCGCGCGCTCCCACGCTCGACTCGACAGTCGGCACCACCTTCGTCGAAGGCCGTATCCTGTCCTACGGAAACCTCTGCGAGGGGCTCGGTATCCTAGCGACCGAAGGTGAATCTCCGGGGGGGGGGGGGGTCCTCGGCCCGGCGTGGTGGTTCGGCGGGGCCGATGGGCACCGGACGACTCCTAGGACCGATTGCGTCGCCATAGCGACGTGAGTCGAGGTAACGGCGGAGGTGTTGTGACTGGGCAGGCGAAGCAGCGCCCCCCCCTCCCCGCCATCTCCCCCTCACCACCGCGCTACGATTAAAAATTTCGCTGTGGCAGCAGCAGCAGCGGCAGCGGCAGCTTTATGGAAGACGCTAAAGCGAGCGGGGGACGCGCCCCAAGGTCTCGCGATCAAAGCGGCGTGGCCGCCGCACACACTACGCGAGCATCGCCAGGCATTTATGGCGCCGTTAACCTTGACGAGGACGCGGGGCGGCGCGCGTTACGAGCTCGTAACCTTCGCGATTCCGCACCGGTGGTTGGGAGTCTCACGCAGGTGAACGCGCGGCCCGTAACGTGGTGACCTTGCAAATGCGCCCACTCATCGTCATCTCCTACTCTACATCGCCGCTCCGGCGGGGTCCGGTGAGACTCGGCAGCCTGCCGGCACCGGCGCGGCGAGCGCCCGGGGTCTAACTCGCCTTCGCCGTGACTTGGACCGCCGAGCTACTGGGATTCGCCAGCAGCGCGGTTACACGATCGGCGTTGTGACGAGGCACAGAGGAGCGCGCGGATGAGAGAACCGCACGCACGCAAGTCGATGACGGCACTCAAGAAATGTCGGTGGGCCTGGGCAGGGCTCCGTCTCCAAATGGGACGACGGCCACAGGACACGGACAATAACGGAGCGGCAGGGATTGAGCAATGCGGTCCACTGCGGAGATGAAGCGATGATGACATTAGCTCTCGCGGGAATGGTGAGAGGTTGTGGCAGTGGCTTGTGGAGGCTTTCATCCAGCAGAGGATGGCTGATGATGATGATGATGATGGACAATTTGCTACCAATTCCCCTTTATTCAAGGTGTGCTGTTGCTTTATCACCGCTCGTTCCGCGGAACTCCCCGCCATAGCGATGTGGAATTTCCACCACTGACTCAGGACTTCCAGAGGAAATGAGGGCCAACTCGTGGGCACTTCATTGTGGAGCCTCCCAGGAGACCCATCGAGTGGACGAGTTGCACCCTCCATGCCTACGCGTGCCCCCTCCCCGTCGCTTGCATTCGAGCACACACCGACAGCGTGCCGGTCCGGCTTCCACTTCCCTGCCAGCGCGCTCCCTCCTGACGTTGTCTTCACGTGCAATGCGGTCGCTGCGGTTCAGTCTGGGCTCACGAGGTCACGCGGTTGATTGTGGTTGATTGCGGTGTGACTCGATCTGCCCAGGACCGCGCTCATGGTCTTCATCTTCATCGCGAGGGCCTTCATCTCGGGCGGATTCCAAGCCGCCTTCGTCTACACTCCCGAGGTGAGGCCTTGCCCGGCTCGCCCAACATGGTGGACACTGGGCACACGGGGCTGGGGCAGAGGGCATGGGTGGCGCCGGCCCACCACTGCTGGGCTCAAATATCTCACACTCGGCCTGCCTCGAATGTTCACCTCGGTGGGCCACCAAATGGTTTGCGTTTGGTGCGCGGCCGCACAACTCCAGTCCCAGCGGCCCGGTTCGACCCTGGGCCGAGGGCACAGGGCAAGGGTCAACGAGGCAAGGAGGGTGCACAGGGCACCAGGCAGGGAGCGTGGGGACGAGGGCAGAGGGCAGGGGTCGCGTGCCGCGAGGCGCTTGTCGAGAAGTCAAGGGGCAAAGGGCGCATGGGGTGCGGTGACCCTGATCCGCCCCACGGTGTGGGTGTGTATGTATGTATGCGCATTGAACTTCTTTCGCACCGTACGTAGCCAGCCGCGGCTAATCGGAGGTACGGGATCCCCGCCGCTCGCCTGTCGTTGTGACCGCGCGCGTGCGCAGGTTTACCCGACCACGTCGCGGGCGCTGGGCCTGGGCACGTGCAGCGGCCTGGCGCGCGTGGGCGCCCTCGTGACGCCCTTCATCGCACAGGTACCGCGTCATCGTCGCGTCGTGTGTGTCCATTCCCACAGCTCTTTCTTGCAGCGTTGCTTGCTTTGTTATACCCTCAGCGCGGTAACCGCCGCTGAGATCCTCGCGTAAAGGTGCAGTCCCGTAATTGCTCGCTCGCGTCACCACTGACGGAGCGGCCTCCACCACACGGAGCTCTAGAGAGCGCCTTCGGCTGGAGGGTACTTGGCCTACGCTTCCGCGTTGCCCCAAACGTCTCGGAAGAGGCAGGAGTACCCTGGGCCACGGGGGACCCCCCCCCCACCTCGCCAATCGACGGACGTTACATTTTTTGCGGAATCTCGATCGGTCGTCGCGCGCGCGATTCTCCGTGTCGTGGGAATTGGTGCGGAGTCGCACCTCCCCCTGTTCACACGCCACACTGAGCGGTGGCTGGAAATCTCCAACCTGCTCTGACATCAAAGGCGACCGGGGTCCTCGCGATTTTACGACAGTTGGGGGTGGAGCCACTGCACGGTCATTCACCACTTGATCGTCCTTATTAAGGTCTTCAGCTTTTAGGACTCAATCTCGAGATTCACCCCGAGGTAGATGGCGGCAAGTCCGCGGCTCGTCACGGCAGCGGGGGTCGGTGGGGGTCGGTGGGGGTGAGCGTCGTGACGAATCTGGCGGCTTCCGTCGGGGCACGTGCGACGTTTACCGATGTCGTAAACCCGGCCCCCATCTCCGCGCGAAGGCCAAGGCCGCGCCGCGACCTTCGTGCCGCGGCCTCCCACGCGGGCCGCGGTCACGTGATGCGAGGGTGGTAAAGTGGGCAGCGTGTCCCGCATGCGTGTGGCTGTTCGCTTTACTGCCCCTTTACAGGGTTTTTTTTGTATAAAACGAAAACTGAGAATTGCTCGGGGCTCGAGCGGAATGCTGCGGCCTCCTCTCGTGCGAGGAAACCCACCTCGCACGTGGCAGGGCGACGCTCAAAGTGTCCACGCGGGTGGGTTCACAAACCCCGGCGTCAATCTCCTGCCACGTGGAACCGGGGAACAGCAGCAGATGGCGCTGGTTGTGGTTTTGTTCGAGAGAGGGCATGGGGTGAGGGTTACGGCTAAGATACAGGTTTGAGTTAAGGCCCAGGTAAAAGATAAGAGATAACACTTAAGATTCGACTAGGCTTAGGGTTAGAGTGAGGGGTTAGGGACATCCTTAGGACTAGAGGTAAGCACATGACCTGGACAGGCTCGGCTCCAGCTGCACTCAGATTGGGGGGGGGGGCCCAGTAGAGCTGTCGTGTGGGGGGCACCATCGCAGTGAGTCGCCGCTCAGGAGGAGGAGGGTGAACGTGGCTGGGCCAAGGGGACACTTGGTGGTGTGGAGCCCCCACCCCTGCACCCCCCCCCATCCTGGCGGCCCCCAACCTGGTGGCCCCCACCCCAGTGGCTCCTAGCAATCGGGGTGGAGGCGTCCGCTGATTCTGCAGCCCGGGTCATTGCACTAATCATGCCCTCGTAACCCTACCTGTAACCCTCGCCGTAACCATAGCCCTAACCCAACATTGGGTGGCTGTGGTAGGCTTACAGCTGGAGTTATGGGGCATGAGCTAGGGCAGTGACTCAGGCTGCGGAATCATGTTCTGTTTATGCGCAAAACTGAACACAGCGTACCCCTTGTAGTAAATTCGGTAGGGACGTAGTCACCAGCGCACGTAGACGTCACGCCGGTACCGCGACACGCGCCGAGCCCGCCGTCCGTCACGCCGCTGCCCCGCGCCCGCCCCAGGTGATGCTGGCGAAGTCGGTCTACCTGTCGGTGTCGGTGTACGGCACCGTGTGCCTCCTGGCCACGGTGGCGTCGCTGCTGCTCCCCATCGAGACCAAGGGCCGGGGCCTGGTGGACGCGGCGGGGCCGGGGCCCTGGGGCCAGGAGATGGAGGGCCGCGTGACCGGCGACGGCTCTCCCAGCGCCGCCTCCGACTGATCGCGCCGCCCGGCTCGTCGGAGCCGCCGGGGGTTACCGGGGCCGCCGGGCAACGGCGCGGGAGCGGTGGCCCGCCACGGCGCCGTCTTCGCGCGGCATCGTGCCGAGCGGTCTCGGCTCGTTCGCTCGGCGTCGATGGCCGGCGAGCGCCGGTGGAGCGCGGCAGGCGGGGAGCGATCGACCCCCGCCCCCCCCGTGTACAGCGTGAACTGGGTCGTGCCTTTACCTCCCCCATCCCACCCCGTGAGCCCCCCCCCCTACCCCTCGTGACCCCCCACAACGACCCTGCCTGTGCGTGCGGCTTACGGTGACGCCGTCCCCTTCGAGTCGAGGTGAATGTGGTTGTGTTGAACGCGGGGCTGGGGTCGTGGCTGTGGCCGGAGCGGGGTTTGGGTTTCCGCTGTTGGCGGCGGTGGTGGTGCCGGCTCCCCGTGCCGCGGTGCGGTGCACAGCCGGTCGCTGGCCGCAGCAGCCGGAGTTCACGCTGGAGCCGCTCTCACCCAAGTTCGACTCCAGGTTCACTCATCGTGCGGCACCCAGCACCAGCCACTTGTGACATCGTCCTCTGGGCTGGAGAGTGGTTGATGTGGGTGGTTGGTGGGAATGTGGTTGGTGGAGGTGGTTATTTGGGTGGTTGGTGGGAAGGTGGTTGATGTGGGTGGTTGGTGGGAATGTGGTTGGTGGACTGGGTTGTTTGGGTGGTTGGTGGGGGGAGGTGCCTCACCGTTGAGTATTAAGATCATGCTGAGCACGCATTCAATTAATTAACTCGTTTTCAGTTTCATTCGAGCCATGCCTGCCAAGGTGGGATTGCGCCACTCCCAGCCACTCTCATCCTTTCCCAAACGCTCTCTTTCACCAGCCACTCTGTCACTTCTTACCACAAACGGCCACTTCCAGTATTTGCGAGTCACTGCCAGACATTTCTCAGCCACTCAGAGCTGCTCACAACCACTGCCAGTAACTCCCCAAGTCCACTGTAAGCCCCTGTCACCCACCTTTTGAGCCACAACCTCTTCCACAGACCCCCGAACAAATTCTCAGTCGGTCTAGAGCCCTCAGAGCTGCGGTCGACTCTGAGCCCAGACTTCAGGGCGTGTGGGCTCTGTTGATCCCCCGTCACCCGAACACCGACGCCAATTCCCGGACCGTCTGCTCGCGTCACACTCTGACAGGTGGCAAAGCCCACGCCCTCTCCACCCGCCCGCCCCTCAACCGTCTCCCCTCGCCACCCCAAGCCCCTTTGCCCTCCTCGCTCATAACGAGACCCCCACGGCTCCCTCCGCCCTGGCGTGGATGAAGCTGCCACCCCCCCCCCATACCCCCAGCAGTGTCGTTAGGTGGAGAAGCGGAAGCGGTTTTTGTGTTTTTGTCAAACGGGGCCAAAACGCGACAAAACGGTGGCTGGGGGGGCCAGCCGTGAGCGAGCCTGGCCATGTGATCGTTTAGCTATAAATACATACAGTACATATACATATATACATGGAGCCGTGTAATACTGATGATGATGCTGCTGATGATGATAATGATGATGCTGATAATACTGTGACGCTGCCACTGCTGTGATGACTCATGTGCTGCTGCTGCTGCTGCTCCGTGTTGGTGGCGTGAGTCTCGGCTAGAGCTGTAGGTGTCTCGTGCCCGCTGCGTGTGCGTGTTCTTACGGAGGTGGAGCCCTTCCAATAAATCTGGCGCGCGTCCTCGTGGCTCCGTGAGTGGCTTTGGCATCGTCATCACTGACATCATCACTATCAGTCAGAATGGCGATGATGATAAATAGAAGAGGCTTTACTCTCTCCGGCCACAAAACATGTGTTCGATTGTCCAAACACCAAAAATAAACCTTTTGCAAGGCATCGGGTCTGCATGAACCACACATACGCGTGGCAAAACATCCAAACAAACATGCTCTGATAATATTTGCCATAAGTACGTGTGGTTAATGCAGACTTGATACCTTGCAAAAGGTTTATATTTGCTGTTTCAACATATGAACACCTGTTTTATTGCCAGAGAGGATAACCCCTATTCTTATTATTCATCATTCTGTATAGTGACAAAAATATCCCATATATAATCAGAATCATGGCCCTAATGTTTGCACCATAATCAACTGCACAAGTGCCTCGAGTATTATCAACACAACTGATATAAGCTTTATTGCTGTCATCATCATCATCGCTGTCGGCAAGAGCACCACCCTCACAATCACTCCCACCGCCATCATCATCATCGATCACCACCCCCACCGGCAGTGTGGCTACGGGCACAATCATCGTCACTACCCCATCCCACCTGGCACCAGCATGGGCATCGCACGAGTAGGGAGGCGGAGAGGCACTTCACTCGCACGTTGCTTTATTACCGACGCGGTCTCGACAGCAGCACGGGAACAAGGCGCGATAGAAGCCAGCACCTCGCTTGTCTCTAACTAGATCCACGTGGTGCCACCTGACTCCACTTGGAATCACGTGGTTTCACGTAGACCACGTGGCTCCACCTGGAACCACGTGGTTTCACGTAGACCACGTGGCTCCACCTGGAACCACGTGGTTCCACGTAGACCACGTGGCTCCACCTGGAACCACGTGGGGCACGGGAGTTCCCAAACTCGAGTTCCCACAGCGGCACGCGGCGCGCGCCCCTTTCCACGAGCGCCGGGCGACTGCGTTCAGACACGAACTCGATACACACCGCACGCGCCTGATGATTGCCCTAGACTGCAAGCGCCCACGCAGAATTTCACAGATTGCCCCGGTAACTCGCAAGCCGCTCCTCCGGTTCGCGTCAACTCAGTCACGGATGGCACACGGTGACGCGTTCCCAACTGCGATAATTATTATTATAATGATGATGATAATGATTACAAAGTGCCTGTGTGCAGAGACCCGTCACGGTTCATATCGCCGAGAATTCCCGAGCGAAGTCCCGGACGCGACGCGACCGACAACATCAACGCGGCTTGTCGCTTCAGCGCATCCCCGTGATGCCGTCACGACTCCCGCGTGGCCTCGTCTTCCGTGGGTGCCGCGCAGCTGAGACAGCAGCTGAGCTGCAGCAGAGGCTGTGGAGAGGGGCCGGGGGTGGGGGAGGAGGCGGGGGAGACGCTCACGTGAGACGCGGGGGTCACACCAGAGTCACAGCGAGCCCTGTGCCGCCGTTCATCTGTCAGGGATCCTGGCTCCCACTCAAACCGCGAGCGGAGGGTTGCCACCTTTTTGCCGCGGAGCAAAACCGGACTTCATTCTCGGTCAGCACGAGCTCTCTCATCGGTTTCCGTACCGTGCGGTGAACTGTGATGCATCTCAAACGCAGCGGCATTAGCGATACGAGATCTCGGTACTAATCAATGCGAGCTGCCACCCGAACGCAGACGCATGCAAGTTCAAGCCTGGAGAGGTGGCAACGCGAACCGCCGCTTTGCCTCACCGTGAAGACGCGGTCTCGGTGTGCGTACGCAATCAGCAGCAGCGTCACCCCCAGCACCACGAAGGCGGCCACGATGGCGCCAATGGGCAGAGGTTCACCTGGGGACACGTGGACACGGGGACACGGCGTTAGCGAGACGCGGGGTGGGTGGGGGGGGGCTGAAGTGACGTCAGCTTGAAGAACCACGAGCGCGTTCTGTGTGGAGGCGCTCTAGCTGGTGCGGGGCCTGTAGCACATGTTATAAAGGGGCCCTAAATAAGAAAAACGTAAATATTCAACCACAATTTTTTTACTTGCATAGTAAAGTCATTGTATTTTTTTCATTTTCTAAACAGCCAGATAATACGACAAATCGCGAACCTTAAACACCCAGTCGTTCATAAAAGTTGAAGGCAGTATAGTACTATAGTAATAGAGCAAGTGCAGAATCACTGAACCGGAATTGATAGCTTGAAAGCATTTAGCGCGGGGCCCTTGAAAGTGTGCGGGGCCCGTAGCTACAACACGTGTAGCTACTTGTGCTACTGGGATAATCCGGCCATGGGGGTCGCGCACGAGATCTGGGATATCGGATCCCCGTCTCGAATGACGCGGCGTCTTCCTCCACCCTCCCCCACCCCCGTGTGGCGGTCTACGTCCTCACCCTTCACGACGAGGACGAATGTCTGCTGGCAGGGCGTGCCGGAGGTGGCGTTGATCACGCAGCAGTAGAGCCCCGAGTCCGTGTCCGTGGCGCGCGTGATGGAGAGCGAGTAGGAGTCGGGTCTCCACGACACCGAGTAGCGACCCTCGCTGGTGGACAGCGCCTCGCTGCAGCCGTCCCCGACCCACCACTGCACCTCTCCTGCACCCACGCGCGGGGAACGCGAGGTGGGATGCAGGGGACGCACCGAGACGATGGGTCACACTCGGGAGGCGTGGGGATGCGTGGAGACAACACGCGGGGACGCGGGATTGTCTGGGTAGCTAACGGGGGCACGTGACGGCGTGGAGACACGTGGCAGCGTGGAGACGCTGAGCGACACGTGGAGGGCACGGGGACACGTGGAAGCGTGGGGTCACGCGGGGACATGCGGGGGCACGGAGACACACAGGAACATACGGGGATGCCGTGGAGCAGGAATATCGCACGGGCGTTCAGTGCGGGGTCGCGTGGAGACACGTGGGGGACACGGGGTTATACGGGGGTCACATCGGGACACAGGGAACTCACGGAGAAACACGGGGACTGGGGGCCGCACCTGGAGACAGTTGAGGGCGGCTGTAGATGTTGCAGGTGAGGGTCACGTCTGTGCGCAGCGTTGACTGAACCGTCTGCTCCGACGGCAGGGGGATCTCGCACGGGTCAACTGCGCGCACACGGAGAGGCGTGGGGGACACGGGGGAGAAAGCGGGGGATGCACCTTGGGGCATGGAGACGAGCAAGGTCGCAAGGGGGACGCGTGTGGGTTGGTGTGGAGAGACGCGTGGACGGGCGAGAGATGATCTACCGTGAACTGGCTCGGGTGAGGTTGGCGTCCCCCGTGAAGATCGTCAAGGGGGCAGGGGCTGGTTCCGCTGCTGTGGGCGTCTGGGAATTGAGTCTCGGATCGGCGGGGCAGGAGCCTGGTCTGGAGTCAGTAGCGGAACCTGGGATCTGGGAGCGGGGGTCGATCTCTGGGGTCGGGACGGGGTCCAGGGCTCGCGGCTGGGGTCTTACCGGTGATCGCGAGACGCCGCTGCCCCGTCCGAGTCCCCGTGGAGCATTTGAAGACGACTCCCTCGTCCGCCTGGGTCACCACGAGACAGACCACGGCGTCGGTCGTCGCCACGACTTGATTGTTCCTCGTCCACGTGACCGTGGAGTTGATGGGCCCATCGGAGTCCTCGCACACGAGGCAGGATTTGTGGCCGAGGCGGAGGGCATCGGAGGGGCCGCAGTTGAGCAGCGACACGTTCAGTGCAGCTTCCACGGAGACTGTGTGGGGAGAGGCCAGGGACAACATCGTCATCATCATACATCACCCCATCATCAACATCCTCATACATCACCCCGTCATCAACAACATAATCATCCATCACCCCGTCATTATCAACATCATCATCATACATCTTCCCATCATCGACAACATCATCATCATACATCACCCCATCATCATCATACATCACCCCATCATCAACAACATCATCATACATCACCCCAACATCAAACATCACCCCATCGTCAACAACATCATCATACATCACCCCATCATTAACAACATCATCATACATCACCCCATCATCATCAACATCATCATACATCACCCCATCATCAACATCATCATACATTACACCGTCATCAACAACATCATCATCCATCACCCCGTCATTATCAACATCATCATCATACATCTTCCCATCATCGACAACATCATCATCATACATCACCCCATCATCATCATACATCACCCCATCATCAACAACATCACCATACATCACCCCAACATCAAACATCACCCCATCGTCAACAACAACATCATCATACATCACCCCATCATTAACAACATCATCATACATCACCCCATCATCATCAACATCATCATACATCACCCCATCATTAACAACATCATCATACATCACCCCATCATCATCAACATCATCATCATCAAACATCTTCTCATCATCGACAACATCATCATCATACATCACCCCATCATCAACAACATCATCATATATCACCCCAACATCAAACATCACCCCATCGTCAACAACAACATCATCATACATCACCCCATCATTAACAACATCATCATCATACATCACCCCATCATCAACATCATCATACATCACCCCATCGTCATCATACATCACCCCGTCATCAACATCATCATCATACATCACCCCATCATCGACAAAATCATCATCATACATCACCCCATCATCAACAACATCATCATACATCACCCCAACATCACACATCACCCCATCATTAACAACATCATCATACATCACCCCAACATCAAACATCACCCCATCAACAACATCATCATCATCATACATCACCCCATCAACAACATCATCATCACACATCACCCCAACAACCTCAAGACGTCCCAAATCACCGTCGCGTCCCCTTCCCATCACCCGCCCACCCCTCCCACCCCTCGCTCCCTCCAGCCGAGGGGCCGGCTTCCCCTCGCAAGGGGTCCCTATCCCCCGTGGGTACCCGTTCTGGTGGAGGAGGCGCCCTGTGCCGAGCAGGTCGGGACCAGGGGGAGGACGAGGAGGAGGATGATGATGATGAAGAGGTGGACGACGTGGGCGAGGTGGGCCAGTGGACCTCTCACCGACGGTTCGCGCCTGCCCATGGCTCTGTTGTCACGTGGAGTGAAGCAGCAGCATCGTTAGCTCCGTGCGACCGTCGGTTGGTCCGTCCATAATGTCGTCAATAACGTGGCCAAGTCAGTTGAATGATTTCGTCGATCAATTAGTCGGTCAACTAACGCGTCACTTTCTTTTGATCAACTACGTCAAATCATCTTCTTGGTTCTTTCGGTAAAGTCACGTAGAAGGGAAGTAATAAAATAATAAAAATAAAACATAATAAAATAATTCTCAGTGAGAATTCTCAGTGAGAATAATTTTATTATGTTTATTTTTATTATTTTATTACTTCCCTTCTACGTGACTTTACCGAAAGAACCAAGAAGATGAATCCCTGCAGTCACGAAAGCTTTAAATCGAGATACGTAAAATCAGTGAACGGGTCCACAAGACGTATGCGTACTCTTTGGTTCTGTCGGTAAAGTCACGTAGGTAGAAACATTATAGATCAAGACGTTTCGATCGCAACACAAGCAATCGTCGTCAGGTGGGACAACCACAGCAAGAACAAACGCCGTTTCGATCGCAACACAAGCAAGAAAAACATCTATTATTTTTCTACCTACGTGACTTTACCGAAAGAACCAAAGAGTATAGATTCCTGCAGTCACGAAAACTTCAAATCAAGACGTGTGCGTCATTCGCTGAATCAAGCCATCTCGAAAAGGAGTTCATCGATTGTGACTCGAGCGAGGAGTCAATCTCTGGACGCCGCGTTCACAGCGGCGGGGTCTTCGCACTCAGCGGCTCTGCGGGTCTGCGGGTCCGTCCGTGTCACGGTCAGCTGTGAGTGTGTCGCCGGTCGGTGTGTGGGGTGTGATGAGCGTCACGCGTCAGTATACCATTCGCGTGCACACGTGGCGTGTGTCTCGTGTGACCAGCCAGAAGTCGCCCATGAATGAGTCCACCGGTTAAGTCCATCGCTTCGTTCATCACGAAGGCAAATCGTGATAATTAATCACGAATGTGATTGTGGCTCGGGTGCCGTGTGGTATCGATCAGTTCCGCGTTGTGGCAGGGTGCGCTGGGTGAGATGTGTGAATGTGCCTATGCTGTGCCTATGCTGTGTGTATGATGTATGTATGTTGTGTGTACGCTGTGCCTATGCTGTGTGTATGCTGTGTACGCTGTGCTTATGCTGTGTGTACGTAGTGTGTATGCTGTGTGTATGCTGTGTGTATGCTGCGTGTATGATGTGCCTATGCTGTGTGTACGCGGTGTGTATACTGTGTGTATGCTGTGTGTACGCGGTGTGTATGCGGGGCTGGGCGTCATCCGCTGGCTCACCGCACGCTGACGCCGCCGCACTCCGCTGGGCAAGTCCCCGACACGCGCGTGGGGGTCCCCGCTCTGTGAGCCATCGACTCCAGGTGGTGGTGGTGGTGGCTGATTGGGTCCCGCTGTCGGGGTCTCTGTAACCCAGAGGCTGCGTGTGGGTCCCTGGTGAGTGGGTCCCCGCTTCTTGAGGGTGAGTGGGTCCCTAGTCCCGGGTGAGTTAATCTCTGGTACCCGGTGAGTGGGTCCCTGGTCCCGGGTGAGTTAATCTCTTGGCCCTGATGAGTGGGTCCACGCGTCTTCAGGTTCAGTGGGTCCCTGGTACCCGATGCGTCCCTGGTCCCGGGTGAGTGGGTCCCTGGTGCCCGGGTGAGTGGGTCCCTGGTCCCTGGTGAGTGAGTTCCTGGTACCCGGTGAGTGAGTTCCTGGTACCCGGTGAGTGAGTTCCTGGTACCCGGTGAGTGGGTCTCTGGATACCGGTTGGTGACGAGGTCCCGGGTGGTACCGAGTCGGGTCCCCGTGCCGCCCGCGGCCCCGCTATTTATAGCGGCTCCCGCTTGGGCCGCGACCAATGAGATCGGCGTGCCCAGGAGGGGCTGAGCGATGCGTCGGTTCATCAAGACGGGACGGGATTTTGTCGATGCGCAACGACATTGACCCCCCCACCCCCCGCCCCCCCCCCCGTGTAGCCCCTTGTCACAGACTGCTGGAGGAAGTGCTGTGAACGAGCCCCTTTGAACGCCAAGCCCAGCCGCCTTTGTCTCCCCAATGCTGATGCTTACAAAGCCGTCTTTGTCTTCCCCAGGTACTCATTTAAGGCTGAGTCGATCTACACAATACTGTCCTGGAACCCCAGGATCGGGTCAAATATTCGCCACTATTTTTGGTCGTGAGCGGGAATAGAACTCGGGTCGCCGTGTTCGTAGCGCACGCAGTGCACTAACCACTGCGCCACTGCTCCCCGTGATGCAAACAAGACAAAGTCAAAGATCCCCCGTATAGCCTTAACAGACTGTAGGGGCAAGTACTGTGAGCGAGCACCTATGAAGACCGGAACGGTTCACGAGGGGGTGGGTGACCAGAACCACGGCCGACCGCCTTTGTCTCCCTCGTGGCGATGTTCACACATCGCGCCAGGAACTAATTTTAGGCTGAGTCGACCTACGGGCGTCCCAGGACCGGTTCAAATAATCGTGACTGATATTGGCCGCGAGCGGAAATCGAACTCGGGTCGCCGGGCTCGTAGCATAGCGCGCTAACCGCTCCACTACCGACTCCCATGATGTATACAAAACAAATACAAAGATCCCCCGTATAGCCTATACCATACTATTGGGGCAAGTGCTGTTAGCGAGCACCTAAGAAGGCCGGCACGACACACAAGGGGATGGATGGCCATCACCACGCCCGGCCGTCTTTGTCTCCCAAGTGGCGATGTTTGCACATCGCACCAGGTACTCATTTGAGGCTGAGTCAACCTACAACACACACACACAGCCACAGGTAACTGGCACCCTACACACATGACGCACCAACACACGCAGACACGTGTCAGCCTTTATTTTCATTTACCTCCACCGGGTGCAACACCTACGTATGCGCCGTCGCAGTACCACATGTGTATCAGTACTGTAGGCGTACACACACGTGTACTCTATCCAAGGCCGTAGCCAAGGAGTCAACATTGGGGGGGACCAAATCTTCCAGGGGGTCTGGGGTCCCCCCCCCAGAAAAATATCTAAATTTGAAAACGAATTTCCTGCCTAAAATATTCAAAAATTCACTAACACATAGGATTGACTTTTTATTTATGTTTTACAATAATGTCTAATAGTGTATTGTATTGCATTGCTCTGTTTTTTACCTTTTCTTGTTTCATTGTATGTAATGGCATAGATTAGGGATTAATAAAGTACAACCATAACCACAATCATATTAACACATCTATTTTATAGCAACATATTGGGGGGGACATTTTGAGCATATTTGAATATTGGGGGGGATGTGTCCCCTAAATATATATTATAATTACGGCCTTGACTCTATCTACCCATGTGCGTACTGCGTAGACAGTACACGCACCAGTGTGTGTGTGTGTACTGTCTATGAAGTACACGTGGTGCATGCGTGTGCTGAGTCTATGCAATGCAAAGACGTGCATGCGAGTGTGTGTAATGATATCTATGCAGTACACCCACACACTCGTGTACTCCACGTAGCGCGCATGCACGTATATGTGTGTGTGTGTGCTGCAACACCAGTGACGATTATTCTGAACCGGTCCTGGGCCTCCCCTAGGTCGACTCAGCCTCAAATGAGTACCTGGTGCAGTGTGTAGTAAACATCGTCACTGGGAAGATAAAGGCGGCCGGGCGTGGTGCTGGCCATCCACCCCCTCGTGTGCCGTTCCGGCCTTCATAGGTGCTTGCTAACAGCACTTGCCCCGACAGTCTATTCAGGCTATACGGGGGGTCTTTGTTTTTGTACTGCATAGACTCAGTATACACATCGCAAATATCCCTCCAGAAAATATCCCGATGCAGATTCGTGCTGGGTACAACTGCATGCAAGTGTCATTTGTAAATTTTTTGCTGTGGTTTGCTGCCTTGCCCAAGCTTGGCACTTGATGTACCGGCACTCCCCTTATGCAATTGAAACATATAACTTACCTCATGTCTTTATTTTTTAATTATTTTCTTACCTTTCCGATACTCCGATCGGGGTTTTTTTTGTACTGTTTGTTGTAATTGTCTGACCCGTCCCATACTGGACATCTGTGAAAAACAGCTTCACAGCTGATCGGATTTCTCAAAAGACAAATAAACATTCTGAGCATGTGCAGTGCCCGCATCTCATCAGACCACGTGGACCGGCGACTTCCGCTCCCGTGGTCACGTGACGCGGAAGCGGCGGCGCTGCCTTGTGAACACGTGGAGCGAGAGGCAGCCATGAGGTGAGCAGAGCGAGGCCGCCGCTTCGTGTGTCGGAGTTGGGGAGTCTGCCGCCTTCGTCTCGGGGCTCTTGTGTCGGGGTTAGAGGCATTGGCCGAGGTGTGGTGGCTAAGGCGTCTGGGCTATGGCCGGGGTTAGGACCCGAAGCTGCGGCTCGCGGCGTCTCTGCCGTACGCGGCGCGGTTGCCCCGGGGCCCCGCGGCGAGCAGGGCCGCGGGGTACGAAGAGCCGAGAGGGGGACCCCCCCACCACCCCCCACCGACTACGCTACGCAACTCGTCCGGCCCGAGCTCGTCGCGTCTGGGTTAGGGTTGGGGCTCAGCTCCTGGGGGGGTTTGGTCAGGGCTCGAGTTGGGGTTCGGGTTCGAAGCGCTCCATGCGGCTCGTGACGACAGCCCCCCCTACCCCCCCCTTCCCCGTACCGATGATGATGGTGTTGTACTGATGACGATGGTACTGATGACGATGGTACTGATGATGGTGTTCGTACTGATGATGGTACTGATGATGGTGTTCGTACTGATGATGGTGTTATACTGATGATGGTGTTCGGACTGATGATGATGGTAATGATGATACTGATGATGATGGTACTGATGACAATGGTGTTCGTACTGATGACGATGGTACTGATGATAATGTTCCTACTGATGATGATGCTGGCTGTGTCCGCAGCTCCGCAGACCCCGTCGCTGTCCCCGATGGCCGCCGCCTGCTGGTGCAGTTCCGCGACGAGAAGGGGGCCGCGCTGGCGCCGCCGCTCGACCTCCCCGCGGACATCAACGCGCAGCGCCTGCAGCTCGTGTGCGACGCACTGCTGCCGTCGGTGCGACCCCCCCCCACTCCCCCACCACCCCCCCACCCCCCCCACACCACCCCCCCACCCCCCCCACACCACCCCCCCACCCCCCCCACACCACCCCCCCCACACCACCCCCCCCCACACCACCCCCCCCCCACACCACACCCCCCCACACCACACCCCCCACACCACACCCCCCCCACACCACATCCCCCACACCACCACACCCACCACCCCCCCCACACCCCCCCACACCCCCCCCACACCACCCCCCCACCCCCCCCACACCACCCCCCCCCCACACCACCCCACCACACACCACACCCCCCCACACCACACCCCCCCCACACCACATCCCCCCACACCACCACACCCCCCCCACACCACCCCCCCTCACACCACCCCCCCCACACCACCCCCCCCACACCACACCCCCCCACACCACACCCCCCCACACCACACCCCCCCCACACCACATCCCCCCACACCACCACACCCACCACCCCCCCCACACCCCCCCACACCCCCCCCACACCACCCCCCACCCCCCCCACACCACCCCCCCCACACCACCCACCACACACCACACCCCCCCACACCACACCCCCCCCACACCACATCCCCCCACACCACCACACCCCCCCCCACACCACCCCCCCTCACACCACCCCCCCCACACCACCCCCCCCCCCACACCACACCCCCCCACACCACACCCCCCCACACCACACCCCCCCCACACCACATCCCCCCACACCACCACACCCACCACCCCCCCACACCCCCCCCACACCCCCCCACACCACCCCCCCACCCCCCCCCACACCACCCCCCCCCACACCACCCCACCACACACCACACCCCCCCACACCACACCCCCCCCACACCACATCCCCCACACCACCACACCCCCCTACCACCCACCCACCACCCCCCCCCACACCCCCCCCCACCCTCCACACCACCCCCCACACCACCCCCCCTCACACCACCCCCCCCACCCCCAACACCACACCCCCCCACACCACACCCCCCACCACCCCCCTAGAGGAAGGGGAGCGGCGAAACTTGACGAAATCTCTCCCGAAGCCCCCCCCCTCTCGTAGCGGCATTGAGCCCCCCCCCCCCCCCCCGATCGCGTCGGCGTGTTGCGGGAGCGCGTGCGCTACGCTGCGCTACGAACCCGGCGACCCGAATTCGATTCCCGCTCGCGGCCAACACGAGTGACGATTATTTGAACCGGTCCTGGGACTCCCCTAGGTCGACTAGGCCTCAAATGAGGACCTGGTGCGGTGTGTAAACATTGCCACTAGGGAGACAAAGGCGGCCGGGTGCGTTGCTGACCACCCACCCCCTCGTGTGCCGTTCCGGCCTTCATAGGTGCTCGCGAACAGCACTTGCCCCAACAGTCTGTTATCTTTGTCTGTATGCATCACGTGGAGCGGTGGCGCAGTGGTTAGTGCACTGCGCTACGAACACGGCGACCCGAGTTCTATTCACGTGCGGTACTGCGACACGGCGCATGCGTAGGTGTTGCACTCAGTGGAGGTAAATGAGTTACAGGCGTTGCCTTGCTGGCACGTGTCTGCGTGTGTTGGTGCGTCATGTGTGGAGGGCTGTCACGTGGTGCCAGTTGCCTGTGGCTGTGTGGGTGTGTTGTAGGTTGACTCAGCCTCAAATGAGAACCTGGTGCGATGTGTAAACATCGCCACTGGGGAGACAAAGGCGGTCGGCCGTGGTGCTGGCCACCCACCCCCTCGTGTGCCGTGCCGGTCTTCATAGGTGCTCGCTTAACAGCGCTTGCTCCTGCAGTCTGTTAAGGCTACACGGGGGATCTTTGTGTTTTGTGTGTGTGCGTAGGACGACCCCGCGCCGCTCGCCTTCTACGTGCACGAGGTGGAGATCGTGGAGTCGCTAGAGCGCTCGCTGCTGCAGGGCCAGCCAGCCGCTGAGACGGAGCGAGCGCTCGACGTGGTGTGCCAGCCGCAGGCGACGTTCCGCGTGCGCGCCGTCACGCGCTGCACCAGCTCGCTGCAGGGCCACGCCGAGGCCGTCATCTCCGTCGCGTTCAGTCCCAACGGACGGTGAGTGCGCGTCGCGGCGCGGAGACGAAGGGTCCCCCGCGTAGCCTTCGCCGCGCTCTTGGAGCCAGTGTTGTCGGCGAGCACCTATTCAAGCCGGCGCGACGCACCGTGGGGTGGTGTTGCCAGCGCCACTGCCTGGCCGCATTTGCCTGCCCAGTGCTGATGTTTACACGCCGCATGTTGGTACTCATTTAAGGTCGAGTCAACCGAAGGGAGGCCCAGGACAGATTCAGATATTCCCTGCCATTGTTATGAATTGAACTTGGGTTGTTGGGTTCATAGCGCAGCACGCTAATTACTGCGCCACCTGCTCCCCACGCACGTACAGTCGCACGCACATACAGACATTTAAAAAGCACACACGAACGTGTGTACGCACACACATGCACATGAACTCGCGCTAAAACGCACGCATGAGATGGTGGTAGTGGTGGTGATACTGGCACTGGTTTTCGTGGTGGCAGTGATATTGGTATTGGCGGTGGTAGTGGTGGCAGTGGTGGAAGCGGTGGTGGTCTCCTCTCCTGTTCCCGCGCGCTGCCCCAGGTTCCTGGCGAGCGGCTCGGGCGACACCACCGTTCGCTTCTGGGACATCAGCACGGAGACGCCGCACTTCACGTGCACAGGTGAGTGAGGGCGGGAGGTACAGCTCCAGCTAGGGGTGCCCCTGGCCTCGCTCCGTGGGCGGTGGCCCGCATCCAGCGGTGCATTGACCACACAAAGACTGTACATGGTCACTCATCGTCTTGTCCGTCTTAGTTTTTTTTATTCGAAGCGTCACCCCTTTGGGGTCGTCGTCTGTGTGATGATGATCGCGGCTGCTCTGTGTGCTGTCCTCGCTCCAGGCCACAAGCACTGGGTGCTCAGCATCGCCTGGGCTCCTGACGGGAAGAAGCTGGCGTCTGGATGCAAGAACAGCCAGGTAAGTGGCAACCGCTCCACCGCTCCACCGCTCCACCGCTCCACCATGGTGTAAGTGTGCAGCTGTGCAGGTCGCGAGCAACTGTGCAACCACTCAACCACAAAGGTGGCCACACAATCACACAACCACTCAACCACAGCGATAGTGAGTGGACACGCTATCACACGGTTAACGACCAACCACACAACCACTCAACCACAGCGATAGTGAGTGGACACGCTATCACACGGTTAACGACCAACCACACAACCACAGCGATAGTGAGTGGACACGCTATCGCACGGTTAACGACCAACCACACAACCACTCAACCACAGGGATAGTGAGTGGACACGCTATCACACGGTTAACGACCAATCACACAACCACTCAACCACAGCGATAGTGAGTGGACACGCTATCACACGGTTAACGACCAACCACACAACCACTCAACCACAGCGATAGTGAGTGGGCACGCTATCACACGGTTAACGACCAATCACACAACCACTCAACCACAGCGATAGTGAGTGGGCACGCTATCACACGGTTAACGACCAACAACACAACCACTCAACCACAGCGATAGTGAGTGGGCACGCTATCACACGGTTAACGACCAACAACACAACCACTCAACCACAGCGATAGTGAGTGGGCACGCTATCACACGGTTAACGACCAACCACACAACCACTCAACCACAGCGATAGTGAGTGGGCACGCTATCACACGGTTAACGACCAACAACACAACCACTCAACCACAGCGATAGTGAGTGGACACGCTATCACACGGTTAACGACCAACCACACAACCACTCAACCACAGCGATAGTGAGTGGGCACGCTATCACACGGTTAACGACCAACCACACAACCACTCAACCACAGCGATAGTGAGTGGACACGCTATCACACGGTTAACGACCAACAACACAACCACTCAACCACAGCGATAGTGAGTGGGCACGCTATCACACGGTTAACGACCAACAACACAACCACTCAACCACAGCGATAGTGAGTGGACACGCTATCACACGGTTAACGACCAACAACACAACCACTCAACCACAGCGATAGTGAGTGGACACGCTATCACACGGTTAACGACCAACCACACAACCACTCAACCACAGCGATAGTGAGTGGACACGCTATCACACGGTTAACGACCAACAACACAACCACTCAACCACAGCGATAGTGAGTGGACACGCTATCACACGGTTAACGACCAATCACACAACCACTCAACCACAGGGATAGTGAGTGGACACGCTATCACACGGTTAACGACCAATCACACAACCACTCAACCACAGGGATAGTGAGTGGACACGCTATCACACGGTTAACGACCAACCACACAACCACAGCGATAGTGAGTGGACACGCTATCGCACGGTTAACGACCAACCACACAACCACTCAACCACAGCGATAGTGAGTGGACACGCTATCACACGGTTAACGACCAACCACACAACCACTCACCCACAGCGATAGTGAGTGGGCACGCTATCACACGGTTAACGACCAACAACACAACCACTCAACCACAGCGATAGTGAGTGGACACGCTATCACACGGTTAACGACCAACAACACAACCACTCAACCACAGCGATAGTGAGTGGACACGCTATCACACGGTTAACGACCAACAACACAACCACTCAACCACAGCGATAGTGAGTGGACACGCTATCACACGGTTAACGACCAATCACACAACCACTCAACCACAGGGATAGTGAGTGGACACGCTATCACACGGTTAACGACCAATCACACAACCACTCAACCACAGCGATAGTGAGTGGGCACGCTATCACACGGTTAACGACCAACAACACAACCACTCAACCACAGCGATAGTGAGTGGGCACGCTATCACACGGTTAACGACCAACAACACAACCACTCAACCACAGCGATAGTGAGTGGACACGCTATCACACGGTTAACGACCAACAACACAACCACGCATTTAGTGCAAAACCACTCAATCATGCAACCATGGAGGTACTGCTCAACCACGGCTGCTTGTGCCCCATGCCCCCATGCCCAATGCCCCATGCCTCCATGCCCCCCGTGCCCCCGTAAAGCTGAGGGGAGTGTGAGGGGGGGGGAGTGAAACCCCTGACCTGCAGTGTTGCCTGCCCCACCCCCCCCCCCCCCCCCCCCAGATCTTGCTGTGGGACCCGGAGACGGGGCGGCAGGTGGGGCGCGCTCTGACGGGGCACACCAAGTGGATCACGTGGCTGTGCTGGGAGCCGCTGCACCTGTGAGTCGGCTTGCCGGTGTGACGGCGACGCCGCCGCGGTGTGATGCCGGCTTGCCGGTGTGACGGCGACGCGAGAGCCACAACCGTCACGCCGCCCGTGTTGTTGCGCAGTCTCTCCGTCGCGTGACTGTCGTTGCGCATTTGGTTTATAAACATTCAGCTTCTTGACAAAATACGAAATAAGCTCGGTAGTAAATCTCATATTGGCCGCGGAAACTTGCGCGTTGAGTAATTGCAGTTGTAAATAAATACCCACCACCAATTAAACTACGATACCTACCGCCAGTTACATTATAATACCTACCACCAATTACATTAACGCTTTACAAAACATCTATCGGAGTAAATGACGGCTCATCGGTTAATTAGTGCTTAATTGTTGCGTGACCAACGGCATGTGCGTTATAGAACGTGAAATGGCAATGATTTGACGGCCCGTGCCGGGCTAGTGTTGGGTGAGCTGCACTTGAACGAGTCCGGCGCTGCGCTTGAGCGAGTCGGGGGGGGACGGTTCCACGTCGTAGCGACGCTCCGTGTCCAATTACCGCTCCCATGGAGGTGGTTGGCGCGCAGCGGTGCACCGTGCCGTGTAACTGCGGCTGCGCCCGCTCGACCTTCCTGACGTAGCGCTCCCCCGCGGTGATGGTGCCGTCCGCAGGAACGCAGAGTCGCGGTTCCTGGCGAGCGCCTCAAAGGATGGCACGGTGCGCGTGTGGGACACGGCGCGCGGGGCGTGCGATCGCGTGCTCGCGGGCCACACGCACTCCGTCACGTGCTTGCGCTGGGGCGGAGAGGGCCTCCTCTACTCCGCCTCGCAGGACCGCACCGTCAAAGTGTGGAGGCCGCACGATGTGAGTCGCCGCCCGTGCAAGTGCCCGTGGGTTTTGAGGAGAGGGCGAACGTGCAGCGCTTGCCACTGTTGTAGCGCGGCGGCGCGGCTGCACGCGACGGAGAATCCGCTGGGAATTCGCGCGGAGCAGTGCGACCCGTCGTGCTAGAGGACGGCCCCCAGAATTGGATTTCACCAAACTAGCTCAGAGATCCAGACCCAGCGACCGCTGGTTCACACAGCCAGGGGGCAGCACTTCCCACTGCTTCTACCACAAAGAGTAACGTTGGTAGCTTCACAATGAAACCGAAGTTATCAATGCTCAGGACTTCTTAAGCCAAATGAAGTGCAGTGATTTTGTTTGTTTGTTTTTAGAGTCATTGGCGACCGAGTTGAGACCATTGACTCCGCTACACTTGAGAACCCGGTTTCATCGCTGGCGGGGGCTGTAAGCCCGATTCACACCCAAGATCTCAGCGGCGTCAGCACGTCGCTCTGAGCTGTGAACCACCCGGCCCCACCCCATTGCACTTTTATTTTAATGTTTTTCCATATTCCTCCAAATTTGGAAGTAGATATTTCGTGACCTCTATTGACGATCAATGACCCACATTTTATCCCCATATCTGGGGCCGCCTCGGTGCTTGGAAGGCACCGCACCGTCCTGGGGATGCCAGCTGGTCCTGCGCGATCGCATTGCCATCGCTTGTAACCCGCTGACCCTCACCTCCGCTGGTGTTGTGTGTGTGCGTGTGTGCGTGTGTGCGTGCGTACGTGTTGTGGCACACGCAGGGCGTGCTGTGCCGCACCCTGCAGGGCCACGGACACTGGGTGAACTCGCTGGCGCTGAGCACCGACTACGTGATGCGCACGGGCGCCTTCGAGCCCAAGCACGCCACCGTCGTCCCGCGCAGCAGCACCGCTTCCTGTGAGCCCCCACCCCCCCCCCACCTCGCGGAGACGATTACATGGCAGCAGCCTTGGCGATGACGAGGAGGGTCGGCGCCGTGCTTAGTCGCGTGCTAATAACACCGAGAGATGGACTGTTTGCTGCACGTATGGGCGTGTCAATATAACGGTGCAGTCATGTGTGTGTCTGTGTGGATCTGTGTCTGTGTGGCTCTGTCAGTGTTGAGTTTTTATTCTTGTCTCTCCGTCTCTTTCTCCAGTGGACGAGCTGAAGGAACAGGCGCTGAAGCGATACAATCAGGCCAAGGTGAGCACGCTGAGGAATCTGGGGATGTAGTGTGGGGGATTCATGAGGGGTACCGAGACAAAGATCCCCCAGGTAGCTACGAGTCGATTTTTGGGGCAAGTGCTGTTTGAGAGCACCGATATGGGCCAGAACAGCACACAAGAGGGTTGGGGGGGCCAACACCGTTCCCAGCCTTCTTTGCCTCCCCGGAGGGATACGCCGTGCCAACAGGAGAATACGCACACAAAGATACGCACAGAGAGGTACACGCACAGAGGTGTATACACACAGAGCGATAGACGCAGAGACCCCCTCTGGTCATTCAGACTGCTGGGGCCAGTGCCGTCAGGCGAGCACGGGGGCCTGGGCAGCGTGTCCCCGCCGAGTGGCCCGTCCAGTGGAGACGGTGCCGCCCTCGCTGACCGCCGGCGCTCCCCGCAGGAAGTGCAGGGCGAGGAGCGGCTCGTGTCGGGCTCGGACGACTTCACGCTCTTCCTGTGGCACCCGGCGCTGGACAAGAAGCCGGTGGCGCGCATGACGGGCCACCAGGCGCTCATCAACGCCGTGGCCTTCTCCCCCGACGGGCGCATCCTCGCCAGCGCCTCCTTCGACAAGTCCGTCAAGTTGTGGGACGGACGCACGGGGAAGTACGTCGCCCCCCACCGTGCCCCTTCCCCCCCCCCGCACCATCCCGGGCGGTCGACCCCGTTCCCAACTCGCGCCATGCGGGTCGCGATTCGAGGTCCGGGTTGTCCGTGTCCGTGAGCAGTGCCGTTAACAGGGGAGGGGTGGGGGGGTTGGCGACGCTCATTCTGCGTGGTGCCGCCACGCAACTTGCTCTCGACCTTGACCTCTCCTTATCTCACTTTATTACTCTAACTGCTGCCCTGGACTACGATAACCGTTGTGGCCACTGCTACCGTTCTCCCCACCACCCTTCTATGACCGTGATCACCCACTCCAACTTCACCTGTTGCTCCGAACCTGAACGTCTCACCGCTTATGCCGACCTCTCTAACCCTGATCCGTTGCCCCCGGTTCCTGACCTCTCGCCATCGAGCCTGGCTTTTAACGCAGCGACGCGAGCCCTGACGGGGGGGTGGGGGGGCGGAGTGCGGTTGGTCCCTGCGCCACGTGCCGCTTCGTGCCGCTGGGCTGCCAGGGGGGCGTCGGTGCAGGAGCTGCGGGGTCACTGCGGGGTCACCGCGGGGTCGCCGTTGCGGGCGTCGGTTTAACCGAGATGGCTCTGGTGTCGGCGGCAACAGGTTCCTGGCGGCGCTGCGCGGCCACGTGAGCGCCGTCTACGCGGTGGCGTGGTCGGCCGACAGTCGGCTGCTGGTGAGCGGCGGCAGCGACAGCACGGTGAAGGTGTGGGACGTGCAGACGCGCGCCCTCTCCGTCGACCTCCCGGGCCACGCCGACGAGGTATGCCCCTCGCACCGCACACTCGGCCACCTCGTTACAGACGTGCGGCAGATCTCGGCGATGACGATGAGAACGGTGGTGGTGGTGGTGAGAGGTGATGGTGATGATACTGGTTATTGTGGTCGTAAGTACGGTCGTGATCCCAAGTGAGTATAGCGGTAGCTTTGTTGATGCTAATGAAAATGGTGACGGTCATAGTGATGATGATGATAATGGTGGTGGTGGTCCTATGTAGGTGTTTGCGGTGGACTGGAGCCCGGATGGACAGAGAGTAGTCTCTGGCAGCAAGGACAAGATGCTACGGATGTGAGCAGCTGTCCATCATGCACCCCCACGCTATAGCTATCCCAGCAGGCACCAGCTGTACCACAATCCACCAGCTTTTCCAGCATGCGCCGCATGTCTTAAGCGTTCAACAGCTATCCCAGAAGGCGTCTTGAGCCCCCATTCACGAGCGATGCGCGCTCGCAAATTTCCAACCCCCAGTAATTTGTTGACTTCCAGTGGTTGTGGTTGCCTTGCGGAGGGGGGGGGGGCGCCTTGCACACCGCTGTTATAACGGCGCGCGCTCTCTTTATCGACAGATGGCGGAAGTGAGGGCGGCCTGCCTGCCAGCCGCGGGTGACTCGCCAGTGGGGGAAGTTCGCCGCTCTCGGGGGCACCGCGACCGCCGCTTGCGGTCTCCGCCAGCAAAGTCCGCCGTGGCTGCCCAGCCCTGTGTACCTGTTGCCTCCCCTACCCACCCCTGTATCTTGGTGGGCAAAGAGGCTCGTGTATGAAGGCCCCCAGGGCAGGCAAGAGGGGTCGGCGTGACGGTGCACGCTCCGTGGGATCGGGCGGCCCGCGACCCAGCGACGCCGGTTAGCGATCGTGACGAGCGAGGCTTTTTCTACCGGTGTGTTCCGTAATGTAAATACTCGTTTTACCAATTGATAAATAAAACAGCGTTAACTTTGGCATCGTTTCTGCACGATGACATTACCGCGTGGCATCAGTCGGGGGGGGCGCGCGTGACGATGCGTCGATTCGTCCGTTTATAATTATCGGCGCTTGCGGTACGCGGACCAAAACCCGCACGTAGGTTCTTTGCAGCCAATGGGATTCGCAGGTGATTGTTGATTTGGGCCACAATGATCTGGCTAAATGTGACACATTCTCCAATAACACTGTGGCCTCAAAATAATAACATATACAAGAGGTGACGTTTCAGACAATGGGCCCTTCCGTCCAGCAGAGACGCGAAGACCGACCATTGCCGATTGAATATTTTATTTATTTTAAGGCCACGGTGCTATTGGCAAATGTGTTGTTTATTCAGTATGCACCACTGCCAACGCAGCAGCATTAGCAGCAAATTATTTTTCGATTTAAAGCTTTCGTGACTGCAGGGATTCATCTTCTTGGTTCTTTCGGTAAAGTCACGTAGAAGGGAAATAAAATAATAAAAATAAAACATAAAATACAATTCTCACGACGTTTCGGCCACAACGCAAGCAGCCGTCCTCAGGTGAAGAACAGCTCTGTCGGAAAGACAGACCTGTTCTTCATTCAGACGCTGTCTTTCTGACAGACCTGTTCTTCACCTGAGGACGGCTGCTTGCGTTGTGGCTGAAACGTCGTGAGAATTGTATTTTATTATGTTTTATTTTTATTATTTTATTATTTCCCTTCTACGTGACTTTACCGAAAGAACCAAGAAGAGCAAATTATTTGCCCAAATTTTTGTCGTAAAGACTCTCCGCCACCGGAAAGCCAAAAAATGTGTTCGTCTCGTGTCCCAAGCTTCTGACGACGCGCCAGTGACTCTTGCTTTGGCTCTCCGATGAGAATCTCGTTCCCGCAGCCTCAGGCGGTGTTGCTGCATGTGTGCTTGGAGTTAAGGAGTGTGCTTTGGTGGCAACAGCTTCCCATTATCGATTGCCTGAGGTTGAAGGGACGGGGGGGTGGGGGAGTTCCTCAATGTTCGGTGATCTCACTGCAAAGCTGGACATGACGTCCTGTTGCGCCAAGTGTCAGTCTTGTGGACGCTGGCGCAAGGCAAGCTATCGGCGGCGGTAGATCGGCGTTGGCACATCTGAGGGTGACCGCAGTTTACGTCAGCGGTGTGCACATGGCTTGTGCTCGTCCAAGCCACGACTGAAGCGCAGTGTTGTAAAGATTTTAATAAACCGTAAAAAAAATAACTTTAAATATTTAGTCATTATAGCTTTAGCACTGTCACAAGGAGACGGGTAAAACATGGTGGTTTTGTAAAAGCACCGATGTCCTGGGTCTGAGCATATGCAGATGGCTCGACACACTTCTCTGGCGAAGCTGCTGTCAACACAAAATCGTACAAAATTCACATAATTTAGATGAATTCCCGCTCTGAAACCTAAAACACTTTGGTTTCATTGACATGCAACAAACACTCAATAACACGGGTCAACACACTTTTTCTGGCATAAGGTATTCCAACGGTTTTAAGGTAATTTTGGGGTGCTGATTCCAAATCTGGCAGCAGTTTTGTCTATCGCATCAGGTTTTTGAGATATCAAACATTGCATTTTCAATAAAAACTGCAGAAGAAAAATATTAAATAAATGTGGATATCTACATACAATGATATTATAAACACACTATCCTAAAATACAGCACCATATTTTAACACTAAAGCAGTCACTGTTCTGAGATCAGATTTGGAATGAGCACCCTGAAATTAGTCTAAAACAGCTGCAAAAGTCCAGGCCAGAATTTTTTTTTATTTGTTGACCAGTCTAATAAAAGCTATGACCCCACTGTGGATAACGGAAGAGCCGAGTGAAGCCGACTTCATTTTCTTCCGCACAGCAGAACAACTTCATTCTCTACCCCAGCGTGGTGCACCGCTAGCCCTGTGACGCTGATGGCACAATTAGAAAGTAATTGGGAACACAACAGGAAAAAAAACCACCGTGGAATTTTGACCAGTCCTTTCCCCGGTGCCGCCCTCAGCCACACACTCACAACCGCTATAGCAGGAGGGCGAGCGTGAGGGCGAGCGTGACGGCGAGCGTGACGGCCCCCCACGAGGCGAGGGTGGAGGCCGCGGCGCCGCCTTTGCCGAGGCCGCCTGCGTTGTCTCCGCACACGAGCCAGTCTGCGATGGGGCGTGGGTACCCCGGCTCGACACTCAGCTTCTTGTCTGACAGCTGCCAGTAGCTGGTGTCCTTGAAGAAGAAGGTTGATCCTGCGGGCGCCACCACACGCGTATTGCACGGCACCATCAACGGCCTAATCTACCAGTGATTGCATCTCCCGGAGGACCCGGTATCTTCAAAGGTCCAGGTTTTACCAGGGTGCTCATGTCTCCCAGGTGTTCCAGCCTTAACTGGGCACCTAATATCTAGTCTCAAGCAGAGAGAGCAAGCCTCTTCCAGTGGGCCCAACTTCTCCCAAAATGCAGTCTACCAGGGACCTCTGCTCCCCCAGGAGTTCCAGGCTGTACCAGGGATCAAATATCGTGCAAGGGACCTAGTCTCTACCAGGGGGACCAGCCCCGCCCAGAGTTCCCCGGTCACCGCCGCTCACCGTTGGTCCAGCTGAAGACGTCGGTGATTCCGTCGGGCAGGCCCTTCCACAGAGTCAGCTTCTTGGGGTAGCCGGACTCGACGCGGCGCAGTCTCTCATCGTAGCGCCAGAAGTCGTCCTCGCGGAAGAAGTACGTCTTGCCGTTGTGGTACCACTCGAAGGCGGCGTGCACCCCCGAGGGGGGCAGCCCCATTTCTGTCACCGGGTGGGGGTTCCCCTTGTCCGCTTTGGTGTTCTCAAACACCCAGAAATCGCCACCTGCGTGTGGCAGACGTCGTGGTTACGCACCTGGTCATCAACTTGGACACACCTGGACACACACCTGGTGGTGTACCTGAACACACCTGGTTGCACACCTGGTCACGCACCTGAACACACACCTGGACACACACCTGGTCACGCACCTGGACACGCACCTGGACATGCACCTGGTTAAACACTTGGCCATATTCCTGGCTATGCTCCTTACAAACGCCGGCCGATCTTCATCAGTGATGCTTGGCACGCGACTTTGGTTTCATTTTCAAAATGCGGCTGCTTGATCACAAGCCCACAATACCAAGTGGGCAGCAGCGAACAGGCCGAGGGAAGGTGTAAGAGATTAAGGGTTGACGGGTTTCTTGAATCGAGCAAGGGTCCTGAAAAAGTGCATTCGTGTTTCTCTTGGGTTACCACCACAATAAATGCGAGCAAATGTGACCGACTGAGAGCAGCGGTGATGCCTCTGTGGGCCGGTGTTGTTCTTGATAGGACTCGTCTGGACAGTCGAGTGACCAATGATCACTGCCCCAAGGTCTGCCTCTGGGAACCGTGTATGGACAATGTGGAGTTCCATCCCCCCCCCCCCCCTTCATCACTGGGGCCCATTAGCTTGGCTCATGTCAACAATCGCATCGCTTATACCTCTGGGGAAAATGGACGCTGGGAGGGAACTCCAATTGGAGCGGTATGGGGGAAGCACAACGATCATTGTTGTGAACAATGTGGTGAGTGGGTGAGTTGCTGTGACCTGCAGCCTGGTGAGTGAGTGTGTTATTGTGATCTGCAGTGTGGTGAGTGGGTGAGTGAGTGTGTTGTTGTGATCTGCAGTGTGGTGAGTGGGTGAGTGTGTTGTTGTGACCTTCAGTGTGGTGAGTGGGTGAGTGAGTGTGTTGTTGTGATCTGCAGTGTGGTGAGTGGGTGAGTGAGTGTGTTGTTGTGACCTTCAGTGTGGTGAGTGGGTGAGTAACTGTGACCTGCAGTGTGGTGAGTGAGTGTGTTGTTGTGACCTGCAGTGTGGTGAGTGAGTGAGTTGTGATCTGCAGTGTGGTGAGTGGGTGAGTGAGTGTGTTGTTGTGATCTGCAGTGTGGTGAGTGAATGTGTTGTTGTGATCTGCAGTGTGGTGAGTGGGTGAGTGAGTGTGTTGTTGTGACCTGCAGTGTGGTGAGTGAGTGTGTTGTTGTGATCTGCAGTGTGGTGAGTGAGTGGGTGAGTGAGTGTGGTGTTGTGACCTGCAGTGTGGTGAGTGAGTGAGTGTGTTGTTGTGACCTGTAGCATGGTGAGTGAGTGAGTTGTGACCTGCAGTGTGGTGAGTGAGTGAGTGTGTTGTTGTGACCTGCGGTGTGGTGAGTGAGTGAGTGGGTGAGTGAGTGCGTGTTGTTGTGACCTGCAGCGTGGTGAGTGAACACAGTGTCTGTTGTTGTGACCTGCAGTGTGGTGAGTGAGTGAGTGGGTAAGTGAGTGCGTGTTGTTGTGACCTGCAGCGTGGTGAGTGAACACAGTGTCTGGTAGACCGAACGCTCAACATGGGTGGAGGAATCAACGAGTGAAGTTGACGGGAACAGTCGCTGTGGCAGTATCGATAGACGAACGACAGCGAGAGACGGACCGATCGCCGGTGATCGAGTCGCTGCAGCATTTTGTCATCAATTGCTGCATCGTACGCTCACCTGAGCGGCAGGTGAGGCGCTGCCCCCTCTCACCTGTCAGGAAGATGATCTTGGAGTCTTGGCTGCGCTCATAGACGGCGTCCACCTTCTGCAGGTCATCGGGAAGGCCCGACCAGAAGTCCTGGATGGGCATCCCCTCGGGGGCCTCCAGCTTGAGGCCTCGCAGCAGCCGCCAGAAGTGTCGCCCTGCACGGAGAGGGCACAGACGCGGGGCCCAGAATCACGACTGGGAGACGTCTCTGTCTGGGGCCGGGCTCGGAACGTTTAATTGTGCAACACTAAGGGGGCCCACGCTCCCACTCCTCCCACACACACTCAGAGACCCACGCTCCCACTCCCCCCCCACTCACTCAGAGACCCACGCTCCCACTCCCCCCTCACACACTCAGAGACCCACGCTCCCACTTCCCCCCCCCCTCACACACTCAGAGACCCACGCTCCCACTCCCCCCCCCACACTCAGAGACCCACGCTCCCACTTCCCCCCCCCCTCACACACTCAGAGACCCACGCTCCCACTCCCCCCCCCACACTCAGAGACCCACGCTCCCACTCCCCCTCACACACTCAGAGACCCACGCTCCCACTCCCCCTCACACACTCACAGACCCACGCTCCCACTCCCCCCCACACACTCAGAGACCCACGCTCCCACTCCCCCTCACACACTCAGAGACCCACGCTCCCACTCCCCCCCACACACACTCAGAGACCCACGCTCCCACTCCCCCCCCCCACACACTCAGAGACCCACGCTCCCACTCCCCCATCACTCACTCAGAGACCCACGCTCCCACTCCCCCCCCCACTCACTCAGAGACCCACGCTCCCACTCCCCCCCACACACACTCAGAGACCCACGCTCCCACTCCCCCCCCCCCCACACACTCAGAGACCCACGCTCCCACTCCCCCTCACACACTCAGAGACCCACGCTCCCACTCCCCCCACACACACTCAGAGACCCACGCTCCCACTCCCCCCCCCCACACACTCAGAGACCCACGCTCCCACTCCCCCCTCACTCACTCAGAGACCCACGCTCCCACTCCCCCCCCACTCACTCAGAGACCCACGCTCCCTCCCCCCCCCCCCTCACTCAGAGCCCCACGCTCCCACTCCCCCCCCCACTCACTCAGAGACCCACGCTCCCACTCCCCCCCCACTCACTCAGAGACCCACGCTCCCACTCCCCCCCTCACTCACTCAGAGACCCACGCTCCCACTCCTCCCCTCACTCACTCAGAGACCCACGCTCCCACTCCCCCCTCACTCACTCAGAGACCCACGCTCCCACTCCCCCCTCACTCACTCAGAGACCCACGCTCCCACTCCCCCCCCACTCACTCAGAGACCCACGCTCCCACTCCCCCCTCACTCACTCAGAGACCCACGCTCCCACTCCCCCCCACACACTCAGAGACCCACGCTCCCACTCCCCCCTCACTCACTCAGAGACCCACGCTCCCACTCCCCCCCCCACTCACTCAGAGACCCACGCTCCCACTCCCCCCTCACTCACCCAGAGACCCACGCTCCCACTCCTCCCTCACTCACCCAGAGACCCACGCTCCTACTCCCCCCTCACTCACCCAGAGACCCACGCTCCCACTCCCCCCTCACTCACCCAGAGACCCACGCTCCCACTCCCCCCCTCACTCACTCAGAGACCCACGCTCCCACCCCCCCCTCACTCACTCAGAGACCCACGCTCCCACTCCCCCCCTCACTCACTCAGAGACCCACGCTCCCACTCCCCCCTCACTCACCCAGAGACCCACGCTCCCACTCCCCCCCTCACTCACTCAGAGACCCACGCTCCCACTCCCCCCCTCACTCACTCAGAGACCCACGCTCCCCCTCCCCCCTCCCTCACCCAGAGACCCACGCTCCCACTCCCCCCCTCACTCACCCAGAGACCCACGCTCCCACTCCCCCCCCTCACTCACTCAGAGACCCACGCTCCCACTCCCCCCCTCACCCACCCAGAGACCCACGCTCCCACTCCCCCCTCACACACTCAGAGACCCACGCTCCTACTCCCCCCCTCACTCACTCAGAGACCCACGCTCCCACTCCCCCCCTCCCTCACTCAGAGACCCACGCTCCCACTCCCCCCCTCATCACCCAGAGACCCACGCTCCCACTCCCCCCCTCACTCACTCAGAGACCCACGCTCCCACTCCCCCCCACACACACCCAGAGACCCACGCTCCCACTCCCCCCCACACACACTCAGAGACCCACGCTCCCACTCCCCCCCACACACACTCAGAGACCCACGCTCCCACTCCCCCCCCCACTCACTCAGAGACCCACGCTCCCACTCCCCCCCCACACACTCAGAGACCCACGCTCCCACTCCCCCCCACACACACTCAGAGACCCACGCTCCCACTCCCCCCCCCCCACACACTCAGAGACCCACGCTCCCACTCCCCCCTCACTCACTCAGAGAACCACGCTCCTACTCCCCCCTCACTCACTCAGAGACCCACGCTCCTACTCCCCCCCTCACTCACTCAGAGACCCACGCTCCTACTCCCCCCTCACTCACTCAGAGACCCACGCTCCCACTTCCCCCCTCACTCACTCAGAGACCCACGCTCCTACTCCCCCCTCACTCACTCAGAGACCCACGCTCCCACTCCCCCCTCACTCACTCAGAGACCCACGCTCCTACTCCCCCCTCACTCACCCAGAGACCCACGCTCCCACTCCCCCTCTCACTCACTCAGAGACCCACGCTCCCACTCCCCCCTCACTCACTCAAAGACCCACGCTCCCACTCCCCCCCACTCACTCAGAGACCCACGCTCCCACTCCCCCTCACACACTCAGAGACCCACGCTCCTACTCCCCCCCACTCACTCAGAGACCCACGCTCCCACTCCCCCCTCACTCACTCAGAGACCCACGCTCCTACTTCCCCCTCACTCACCCAGAGACCCACGCTCCCACTCCCCCCCTCACTCACTCAGAGCCCCACGCTCCCCCTCACACACTCAGAGACCCACGCTCCCACTCACCCCTCACTCACTCAGAGACCCACGCTCCCACTCCCCCCTCACTCACCCAGAGACCCACGCTCCCGCTCCCCCCCTCACTCACTCAGAGACCCACGCTCCTACTCCCCCCTCACTCACCCAGAGACCCACGCTCCCACTCCCCCCTCACTCACCCAGAGACCCACGCTCCCACTCCCCCCCTCACTCACTCAGAGACACACGCTCCCACTCCCCCTCACTCACTCAGAGACCCACGCTCCTACTCCCCCCCTCACTCACCCAGAGACCCACGCTCCCACTCTCCCCCTCACTCACTCAGAGACCCACGCTCCCACTCCCCCCTCACTCACCCAGACACCCACGCTCCCACTCCCCCCTCACTCCCTCAGAGACCCACGCTCCCACTCCCCCCTCACTCACTCAGAGACCCACGCTCCCACTCCCCCCTCACTCACTCAGAGACCCACGCTCCCACTCCCCCCCTCACTCACTCAGAGACCCACGCTCCCACTCCCCCTCACTCACTCAGAGACCCACGCTCCCACTCCCCCCTCACTCACTCAGAGACCCACGCTCCCACTCCCCCCCTCACTCACTCAGAGACCCACGCTCCCACTCCCCCCCTCACTCACTCAGAGACCCACGCTCCCACTCCCCCTCACTCACTCAGAGACCCACGCTCCCACTCCCCCCTCACTCACCCAGAGACCCACGCTCCCACTCCCCCCCTCACTCACTCAGAGACCCACGCTCCCACTCCCCCCTCACTCACTCAGAGACCCACGCTCCCACTCCCCCCCTCACTCACTCAGAGACCCACACTCCCACTCCCCCCCTCACTCACCCAGAGACCCACGCTCCCACTCCCCCCCTCACTCACTCAGAGACCCACGCTCCCACTCCCCCCTCACTCACCCAGAGACCCACGCTCCCACTCCCCCCTCACTCACTCAGAGACCCACGCTCCCACTCCCCCCCTCACTCACTCAGAGACCCACGCTCCCACTCCCCCCCTCACTCACCCAGAGACCCACGCTCCCACTCCCCCCTCACTCACCCAGAGACCCACGCTCCCACTCCCCCCCTCACTCACTCAGAGACCCACGCTCCCACTCCCCCCCCACACACTCAGAGACCCACGCTCCTACTCCCCCCCTCACTCACCCAGAGACCCACGCTCCCACTCCCCCCCTCACTCACTCAGAGACCCACGCTCCCTCCCCCCCCCACACACACCCAGAGACCCACGCTCCCACTCCCCCCCACACACACTCAGAGACCCACGCTCCCACTCCCCCCCCACTCACTCAGAGACCCACGCTCCCACTCCCCCCCCACTCACTCAGAGACCCACGCTCCCACTCCCCCCCTCACTCACTCAGAGACCCACGCTCCCACTCCCCCCCCACTCACTCAGAGACCCACGCTCCCACTCCCCCCCTCACTCACTCAGAGACCCACGCTCCCACTCCCCCCCTCACTCACTCAGAGACCCACGCTCCCACTCCCCCCTCACTCACTCAGAGACCCACGCTCCCACTCCCCCCTCACTCACTCAGAGACCCACGCTCCCACTCCCCCCCCACTCACTCAGAGACCCACGCTCCCACTCCCCCCTCACTCACTCAGAGACCCACGCTCCCACTCCCCCCCACACACTCAGAGACCCACGCTCCCACTCCCCCCTCACTCACTCAGAAACCCACGCTCCCACTCCCCCCCCCACTCACTCAGAGACCCACGCTCCCACTCCCCCCTCACTCACCCAGAGACCCACGCTCCCACTCCTCCCTCACTCACCCAGAGACCCACGCTCCTACTCCCCCCTCACTCACCCAGAGACCCACGCTCCCACTCCCCCCCTCACTCACCCAGAGACCCACGCTCCCACTCCCCCCCTCACTCACTCAGAGACCCACGCTCCCACTCCCCCCCTCACTCACTCAGAGACCCACGCTCCCACTCCCCCCCTCACTCACTCAGAGACCCACGCTCCCACTCCCCCCTCACTCACCCAGAGACCCACGCACCCACTCCCCCCCTCACTCACTCAGAGACCCACGCTCCCACTCCCCCCCTCACTCACTCAGAGACCCACGCTCCCACTCCCCCCTCACTCACCCAGAGACCCACGCTCCCACTCCCCCCCTCACTCACCCAGAGACCCACGCTCCCACTCCCCCCCTCACTCACTCAGAGACCCACGCTCCCACTCCCCCCCTCACTCACCCAGAGACCCACGTTCCCACTCCCCCCTCACACACTCAGAGACCCACGCTCCTACTCCCCCCCTCACTCACTCAGAGACCCACGCTCCCACTCCCCCCCTCACTCACTCAGAGACCCACGCTCCCACTCCCCCCCCTCATCACCCAGAGACCCACGCTCCCACTCCCCCCCTCACTCACTCAGAGACCCACGCTCCCACTCCCCCCCACACACACCCAGAGACCCACGCTCCCACTCCCCCCACACACACTCAGAGACCCACGCTCCCACTCCCCCCCACACACACTCAGAGACCCACGCTCCCACTCCCCCCCCCCACTCACTCAGAGACCCACGCTCCCACTCCCCCCCCACACACTCAGAGACCCACGCTCCCACTCCCCCCCCACACACACTCAGAGACCCACGCTCCCACTCCCCCCCCCCCACACACTCAGAGACCCACGCTCCCACTCCCCCCTCACTCACTCAGAGAACACGCTCCTACTCCCCCCTCACTCACTCAGAGACCCACGCTCCTACTCCCCCCCTCACTCACTCAGAGACCCACGCTCCTACTCCCCCCTCACTCACTCAGAGACCCACGCTCCCACTTCCCCCCTCACTCACTCAGAGACCCACGCTCCTACTCCCCCCTCACTCACTCAGAGACCCACGCTCCCACTCCCCCCTCACTCACTCAGAGACCCACGCTCCTACTCCCCCCTCACTCACCCAGAGACCCACGCTCCCACTCCCCCTCTCACTCACTCAGAGACCCACGCTCCCACTCCCCCCTCACTCACTCAAAGACCCACGCTCCCACTCCCCCCCACTCACTCAGAGACCCACGCTCCCACTCCCCCTCACACACTCAGAGACCCACGCTCCTACTCCCCCCCACTCACTCAGAGACCCACGCTCCCACTCCCCCCTCACTCACTCAGAGACCCACGCTCCTACTCCCCCCTCACTCACCCAGAGACCCACGCTCCCACTCCCCCCCTCACTCACTCAGAGACCCACGCTCCCACTCCCCCTCACACACTCAGAGACCCACGCTCCCACTCACCCCTCACTCACTCAGAGACCCACGCTCCCACTCCCCCCTCACTCACCCAGAGACCCACGCTCCCGCTCCCCCCCTCACTCACTCAGAGACCCACGCTCCTACTCCCCCCTCACTCACCCAGAGACCCACGCTCCCACTCCCCCCTCACTCACCCAGAGACCCACGCTCCCACTCCCCCCCTCACTCACTCAGAGACCCACGCTCCCACTCCCCCTCACTCACTCAGAGACCCACGCTCCTACTCCCCCCCTCACTCACCCAGAGACCCACGCTCCCACTCTCCCCCTCACTCACTCAGAGACCCACGCTCCCACTCCCCCCTCACTCACCCAGACACCCACGCTCCCACTCCCCCCTCACTCACTCAGAGACCCACGCTCCCACTCCCCCCTCACTCACTCAGAGACCCACGCTCCCACTCCCCCCCTCACTCACTCAGAGACCCACGCTCCCACTCCCCCCCTCACTCACTCAGAGACCCACGCTCCCACTCCCCCTCACTCACTCAGAGACCCACGCTCCCACTCCCCCCTCACTCACTCAGAGACCCACGCTCCCACTCCCCCCCTCACTCACTCAGAGACCCACGCTCCCACTCCCCCCCTCACTCACTCAGAGACCCACGCTCCCACTCCCCCTCACTCACTCAGAGACCCACGCTCCCACTCCCCCCTCACTCACCCAGAGACCCACGCTCCCACTCCCCCCCTCACTCACTCAGAGACCCACGCTCCCACTCCCCCCTCACTCACTCAGAGACCCACGCTCCCACTCCCCCCCTCACTCACTCAGAGACCCACACTCCCACTCCCCCCCCTCACTCACCCAGAGACCCACGCTCCCACTCCCCCCCCTCACTCACTCAGAGACCCACGCTCCCACTCCCCCCTCACTCACCCAGAGACCCACGCTCCCACTCCCCCCTCACTCACTCAGAGACCCACGCTCCCACTCCCCCCCTCACTCACTCAGAGACCCACGCTCCCACTCCCCCCCTCACTCACCCAGAGACCCACGCTCCCACTCCCCCCTCACTCACCCAGAGACCCACGCTCCCACTCCCCCCCTCACTCACTCAGAGACCCACGCTCCCACTCCCCCCCACACACTCAGAGACCCACGCTCCTACTCCCCCCCTCACTCACCCAGAGACCCACGCTCCCACTCCCCCCCTCACTCACTCAGAGACCCACGCTCCCACTCCCCCCCCCACACACTCAGAGACCCACGCTCCCACTCCCCCCCTCACTCACTCAGAGACCCACGCTCCCACTCCCCCCCCACTCACTCAGAGACCCACGCTCCCACTCCCCCTCCCCCTCACTCACTCAGAGACCCACGCTCCCACTCCCCCCCTCACTCACCCAGAGACCCACGCTCCTACTACTCCCTCACTCACTCAGAGACCCACGCTCCCACTCCCCCCTCACTCACTCAGAGACCTACGCTCCCACTCCCCCCACACACACTCAGAGACCCACGCTCCTACTCCTCCCTCACACACTCGGGGGCAGGGCAATGTTCGACCTTTGAAGAAGAAGATGTCCCCTCTGAGCTGCGTGATGGCATCGAAGTTCGTGTTGCAGCGGTCAGGGACTCCTTTCGCGGGGTTCCTGCGTGGTTGTGGGGATGGAGTGCGGATCAATCGGTGGTCAAGAAAGCCAGTGATGGGGTGATGGTGCCAGTGATGGGATGATGGTGCCTGTGATGGCATGATGGTGCTACTGATGGGGTGATGGTGCTAGTGATGGGGTGATGGTGCTAGTGATGGGGTGATGGTGCTAGTGATGGGGTGATGGTGCTAGTGATGGGGTGATGGTGCCAGTGATGGGGTGATGGTGCTAGTGATGGGGTGATGGTGATAGGATGATGGTGCCAGTGATGGGGTGATGGTGCTGGTGATTGGGTGATGGTGCTAATGATGGTGATTGGGTGATGGTGCTAGTGATGGGGTGATAGCGCTGGTGATGGGGTGATGGTGCTAGTGATGGGATGATGGTGCTAGTGATGGGATGATGGTGCTAGTGATGGGGTGATGGTGATGGGGTGATTGTGCTGGTGATGGGGTGATGGTGCTAGTGATGGTGATGGGGTGATGGTGCTAGTGATGGGGTGATGGTGCTAGTGATGGGGTGATGGTGCTGGTGATGGGGTGATGGTGCTAGTGATGGGGTGATGGGGTGATGGTGCTGGTGATGGGGTGATGGTGCTAGTGATGGGGTTATGGTGCTAGTGATGGGGTGATGGTGCTGGTGATGGGGTGATGGTGCTAGTGATGGGGTGATGGTGCCAGTGATGGGGTGATGGTGCTGGTGATGGGGTGATGGTGCTAGTGATGGGGTGATGGTGCCGGTGATGGGGTGATGGTGCCGGTGATGGGGTGGTGTTGCTGGTGATGTGAGGATGTTGTGGGCGATGGGGCCGTGGGTCCCCTCACTTGTTGGGCGGTTTTGCTGAGGGGTGCGGCCCGGGGGGATTGGGACGCGGGGGTCTGATGGTCGGGCGCTTGCTGCCTGCAGGAGGAATGCAGCGACCCGTCTCGTCATCATCCACCATCATCATCATCCATCATCATCCACCATCATCATCCACCATCATCATCCATCATCCATAATCATCATCCACCATCATCATCCATCATCATCATCTTACATCATCATCCACCATCATCATCATCATCTTACATCATCATCCACCTTCATCATCATCCATCATCATCTTACATCATCATCCACCATCATCCATAATCATCATCCATCATCATCATCATCATCCACCATCATCATCATCCACCTTCATCATCATCATCCACCATCATCATCATCATCCACCATCATCATCAATCATCATCATCCATCATCATCCATCATCCATCATCATCATCCACCGTCAGCATCATCATCCACCATCATCATTATCCACCATCATCATCATCCACCATCATCATCATCATCGCCATCGTCCGCGTCGCAACTCTAGGGTGTGCAAGGCTGATGGTCACGCTCCCAACTTTTCGTGGCAAGCTCCAGGTTGCACTCTAGTGGTAGTGCCTTATGCCGAGAATTCTTTACTACTCCTCGCCAATTTTACCCCCAGCGATTGAGAAAATATCGAGAACTCCATCCCCCGCGGGGGAGGGGGGGGACAATCGACACTAGGCAATAGCGACAGTGCGAGAGGGGTGTGCCCCCTCGGGCCCCCCAAGTGGGCCCCCTGGAGCCCCCCAAGTAGCCCCTTCGAGTCCCCCTGAGTGAGCCCCCTCGTACCGTAGAGATGACGGATCCCTCTCTTGTCGTCGTCCATGAGGGAGTATTTATGCGGGTCCCCCACGGAGCCCTGGTAGTAGGGCCTCATGATGGAGTCCGCCGACGAGTGGCCCAGGCCCAGCGCATGGCCCAGCTCGTGCACGGCCACAGTGAACAGGTCCGTGCCCTGGTGGTCTGCGAACACGAAAAACGCGGCCGCTCACACTCATTACGAGCACTCATCACGAGCACTCATCACGAGCACTCACCGCGAGCACTCACCACGAGCATTCATCGCGAGCACTCACCACGAGCACTCACCACGAGCACTCATCACGAGCACTCACCGCGAGCACTCATCACGAGCACTCACCGCGAGCACTCACCGCGAGCACTCACCGCGAGCACTCATCACGAGCACTCACCGCGAGCACTCACCACGAGCACTCACCACGAGCACTCATCACGAGCACTCACCACGAGCACTCACCACGAGCACTCATCGCGAGCACTCACCACGAGCACTCACCACGAGCACTTACCGCGAGCACTCACCACGAGCACTCACCGCGAGCACTTATCACGAGCACTCACCACGAGCACTCACCACGAGCACTCACCGCGAGCACTCACCGCGAGCACTCATCACGAGCACTCACCACGGCTCGCCGTCATGCGGTTGCGTGCACTGCGAGGTTCATGTTTTTTGTTTGTTGCGGTTGCACCCGATTCAAGAGCCGCATGGCTCACAGGGTTATCTCCACATCTCCACATGTATATAAAAGGCAACGTTGTGATTATGTGTGTCTGTTCAAAATGTGTAGCGTACTTCCCGACATGCAACAAACTTGAAATTTGCCATGTGGGTACTTTCCAGACTGCACACCATGCAAAAATAAAAAAAAATACACTTTTGTATTTTGGGTGGGGGGGGGAGCTCAATAATACAAATATTTTTTGCACGGCAAGTTAACTATGACGTCAAATCTGTCACGTGACCCGCGCACGTGGAAGCGTAACGCATTGTAGTGTAGCGGGTAGCGCGCTGTGCTACGAACCTGGCGACCCGAGTTCGATTCCCGCTCACGGCCACCACCGGTGACGATTATTTTAACCGCTCCTGGGCCTCCCCTAGATCGACTCAGCCTCAAACGAGTAAATGGTGTGGTGTGTGAACACCGCCACTGGGGAGACAAAGGCGGCCGGGCGTGGTGAATCCAAGTCCCGGGAGAAGCCGGGTAGTACAGCTAGTGCATAATAAACGAAACTTAAACTGAACTGGAAATCGCCCATCGCTCGCCCACGCTCACCATGGCTCACCGATTTCACTCACATCAGCTACCGCCAGTGACTCGCGACACTCGCGATTGAGATTATCATGACGCTGACAATGCTGCTGCTGCTGCTGCAATAAATGCTGATGATGCTGATGAAGAAGCACAAGGAGGTACCGTCTGGAGAGAGGGACCACTTCTCGTCGTCGTCGAAGTGTGTGTCCCCCGCGAGCTCGTACTGCCCGGGGAAAAACGCGTGCGCCAGGGTGCCACCGGGCCCGTCGAAGGGGTACGCGTCCGTGTGGTAGCCCCTCGAGAACTCGATCACGATGTCCACGGGGACCCCGCCTCGCTCCTCGCGGAACGTCAGCGGCACCGCGTCGCTCCACACGCGGAACGCCTGCGAGATGATCCACCTGATGGCCGCTTGGTCGTTCACGCGCGACGGCCAGCTGTTGATCCTGCCCAGGGGTGCACAAACATCGTCGTGGTCGTTAGCGGCCGTGGTCGATCCACTGCTAGACGACAACTCTCACGAGACGGGGTGGGGGGGTCCATCTCGGGCGAGACCACCAGGTCACCTCCTCCTCGTCCTCTCGCGCTGCCACCAGCACGGGGCCATTGCATCCAGGGCGGAATCTCTCTCTCTCTCGAATAGTCGGGAGCAAGGCACTATCACCAGAGCACAATGTACGTCCATCGATAATTATAATAATACTGGTAGGAACCTCCTGGTTACACCAGCCCACAGGGGACTATTGTGTTCGTCCGTCCGTGCAGGGAGGGGCTGGGTGGGGAGGGTGGGGAGGGGCTTGGTGGGGAGGGTGGGGAGGGGTTGGGTGGGGCTGGGTGGGGAGGGGTTTGGTGGGGCTGGGTGGGGAGGGGCTGGTTACTCCGTGGTACCCTTATAAAACTCAACGTTTAACCTACTCACGCCGGCTTGTGCCCGCCCTCACAGTCGGGCATATTTGCGGAATACACCACACCGCCGTTGACCCTGGCCATTGACCGAGCAACCCAACGTTCCTACCAGCTCCCTCCGCAGGAATGTGTTAATACTAGGCCTATATATGATGATTGTACCCTGTATGTGTTACCGTCATGCTATGTCTACATGGAGGGATGTGGCGAGCCAAAGCATTCCTGGAATTGCGTTCCAGACTTCCGCATGCAATTGCGCATTGCGCCACGACCCGGGGGCGTCATCATCATCATCATCCAGATGTCATCATCCAGCTGTCAGCTGTCATCAGCTGTCATCATCCAGCTGTCATCATCTAGCTGTGGTACCTGCACACGAGACGGCGTCATCGCTGCGGCCTCATGTCGGTGGACGTCCTCTCTATCCCCTCACCTTAGCCACCACCACCATCATCCCTGCTAGCGACGGCCACCACAATCATCATCATCCCTGCTAGCGACGGCCACCACCACCATCATCATCCCTGCTAGCGACGGCCACCACCACCACCATCATCATTCTAGATTTGAAACTTTCGTGACTGCAAGGATTCATATTCTTAGGTTTTTTCGGTAAAGTCACGTTGGTAAAAAATAAAAAATAAAATTAATAAAAGTAAAATAAAAATAAAATAAAAATCACGACGTTTCGGAGGCAAGACAAGCTTCCGTCTTCAGGTGGAACCGTCACAGCACGATAGCTGTATCAAGTAAGAGAAATTCCAAGAAAACAGTCCTTGTATATATACTGGTTGAGGGTGGGAGGAGCCAAGGTAGGCCCTGGATATTATTATTGTGAGGTTCGGTGCGGCTGAAGCACGCTGTTAGGAATGAGCCTTTGTTGTGTAGACTGGTTGAACTCGGAGGTTCCAAAAGTTGTTAAGGTGCGGCGGATGTAAAGGTGCATGTAAATGGGACTGAGCCTTTTGTTATGTAGAGGTGGTGCGGCTGAAACCGCTGCCAGGAATGAGTCTTTGTTGTGTAGACTGGTTGAACTGGGAGGTTCTAAGAGATGTTAAGGTGCGGCTGATGTAACGGTGCGGCTGCTGTGAATGGGACTGAGCCTTCGTTATGTGGATGAAACAGCACTTTGCTACGTTGCTGGGATTAATTCTAGATTTGCCAAATACAGTATGTGTGGTAAAACTTAAAGTAGGAAAACCAGTGTGTGAAAAAAGAAGAAGAAACTATACGGTAACTGAAGAATAGTTCCTGTCAAATAAGATGGTCCAAATATGTGTAGTTAAATCTTTTTTGCATGGTTAATAACATCCTTCCAATGATTACTAAGTTTGTACCCATCATCACGGTTGAAATTATGTCTGTGTTTGTATATTTGGATGGCTTCGTGTACAAACCTTTGATGGTAGCCAGGAGGTTTGCAGAGCACTTTGGTCTCGGAAAAAACAATTTAATGAGAGCCCACAGCGTTGTAGCAATGATCGGCAACGGCCGAAGAATCAGTTTTGCCGTGTTTCAGATCTGACTTGTGCTCGCGGACACGATCAGAGACATGACGTTTCGTTTCTCCAATGTAGCAATCGCCACAACTGCAAATCAGTGTGTAGACTCCAGGGTATTGTACCTGAAGATGGAAGCTTGTGTTGCCTCCGAAACGTCGTGATTTTTATTTTATTTTTATTTTATTTTTATTAATTTCATTTTTTTTACTTACGTAACTTTACCGAAAAAAACCTAAGAATATGAACACCACCATCATCCCTGCTAGCGACGGCCACCACCACCACCATCATCCCTGGGAGCGTCGTGACGCTTTTCCGAGCCCAATTACCGTTCTTCGCAGTCAATGTGATGACTTTAACCTGCGTGTGTTCTCCTAAGGCTCTTGTGCCTCTCGCTGCCTCACGATGTAACTCCACTCCACGGTGCTACACGCACCGGCACCACAGACCGTTTCTTAAACCAAGACAGAGTGTAGGGCGAGAGAGTGCAGCGCGCCTATTGGACGGTAAAGGCGAGCGTGTATACATGAGGGTGAGTGGCGAGAGTGAGGGTGTACGTGAGTGTAATTGTGCAGTACGCAGGGCTGAGTGGATGAGAGTGAGGGGTTTGGCGACGGTGAGTGCGCGAGAGAGTGAGGTGGAGCGATTGAATGGTCGCGCCGTGCCAGTGATATCGGGAGAGTGAGCGCGCGACGGCGTTCGCGAGCGCGCACGAAAAGAGCGGCAGCGCACAGCCCGTCCGGTGCCAGGCTAGGTGCCCCTCGCGGATCCGCACCTGTACGTAAGGTCGTGCTTCCTCCAGACGCTCCCCGCCAGCGCGTACCTCTTCCTCCTCCTCTTCATGATCTCGGAGGTGCCCACCCTGTCCGGCAGCGAGCACCGCGGGGTGTTCATCATGCGCACCGTCGCCGCGTCTGCGAGACACACGGGGGGGGGGGGGGCACGGGGGGACACGGGGGGGGGACATGGGGGGGGGGGACACGGGGGGGGGGGACACGGGGGGGGGGCACGGGGGGGCACGGGGGGGGCACGGGGGGACACGGGGGGGGGACACGGGGGGGGGGACACGGGGTTGCCCTTAGCATCGCGGAGAGGTCGCGTGGTGATCACGTGGAGGATCTCATCCACGATCTCGTCGATGATCTTCTTGCTGATGATTTCACTCGTCGTGCGGATGGATGGGGATCGCGCGTGATCTTGTCGACCACGTGCACGAAATCGCGTCTGATGCCCGGGGGTGGGGGGGGGGGGATCTTGTATATGAACTTGCGGGTCAACGCGTGGATAATTTAATGGACAATCGCGTGGATGGTCCCTCGTGATGATGGTGACGGTGGATCATCTCGTACCCACGTTCCCCGTCACGGTGATGCCGGCGAAGCGCTGCATGTCCTTCACGGCCTCGGTGATGGACTGCTGAGTCATCAGCTTCGACGACACGGGGTCCGGGGTCTGCAGGTACCCGAAGCGCATCAGCCAGTCCTGGGGGGCGCCGCACAACGTGAGCAGCGTCAGCGGGGAGAGGGGGGGGGGCGCGCGGCTCATCGAGCAAACATCGAGTCGCGGCGCTCACTCCACGCGCTACCAATCGAACCCTCCTCGTGCCTTGTCTCGACCTCCAGAGGGGCTACCTGCAGGGGCTACCTCCTGAGGGGCTACCTGCAGGGGCTACCTCCAGAGGGGCTACCTGCAGGGGCTACCTCCAGAGGGGCTACCTGCAGGGGCTACCTCCAGAGGGGCTACCTTCCACCACCAACGGCCTGAGAGGGAGATTGCAGGGCTGCGCCTTTACCTTTGTTTACACAACCCTGACGATCTCACACAGGATGAGCGACTCCCGCGCGCGGTGATGGCCATGGTGATTGTTTCACCATTCATCACCAGCCACTGATGTTAGCCGTGACCGGGAATTCAAATCAGGTTCGCGGTTTCAGAGCCCGGTGCGCTAACCACTTCGCCAACGCTCCACGCTCACGTACAACACATGCGAATTAGAACGTGTGGAGCGGTGGCGCAGCGGTTAGCGCGCTGCGCCCTCGCGCCGGGCAACCCGAGTTTGACTCCTGCCCTTCACCATTCACGTATCTGCCTTCATCCAGCAGTGGATTTATACCAATGCGTTCAATGCGTCATTGTTACCCGCTGGGATGTCATTAGTTTACGCGAACCCGCCAGCCACGACTAAGGCGTTACAACGCAGAGAATCAATACGGAGGACGAATACGGACTCCACGCCGATGGTACGGGGGGTGGGGGAGAGAGACGGGAGAGTGTCGGGAGAGCGACGGGAGAGGGTGTGAGACTAAAGGAGGGAATGACAGAGTGTGGGGAGAAGCGAGCAGAGACAGCGGAGAGCGAGACGATTGGAGGGGAGAGAGTGAGAGAAGAGGCGAATGCAGAGCGAGCGAGAGGTCAGGAGGGGCGCGCGGAGAGTTGAAGGGAGCGAGGGGTGAGTGAGGCTAGCGTGGAAGGGAGAGCGAGGTGAGTGTGGTGAGTGAGGTGAGTGTGGTGAGTGAGGTGAGTGTGGTGAGTGAGTGAGGTGAGTGAGTGTGGTGAGTGAGTGAGTGAGTGTGGTGTGGTGAGTGTGGTGAGTGTGGTGAGTGAGTGAGTGTGGTGTGGTGAGTGTGGTGAGTGTGGTGAGTGAGGTGAGTGCTGCTACTACCATGCCCTTGGAGACGTCTCCCGGGGAGACGGTCGCCGCGTCAACCGCGATCAGTGCACACGCCGCGAGCAGCGCGAGGCAGAGCGGCACCGCGGTCACCATGGTGACGAGGTGACCTGGTGACCTGGTGACCTGGTGACAAGGTGACCTGGTGACGAGGTAACCTGGTGACGAGGTGACCTGGTGACGAGGTGACCTGGTGACGAGGTGACCTGGTGATGAGGTGACGAGGTGACCTGGTGACGAGGTGACCTGGTGACGAGGTGACCTGGTGACCTGGTGACGAGGTGACCTGGTGACGAGGCGTACTGGTGACCTGGTGACGAGGTGACCTGGTGACCTGGTGACGAGGTGACCTGGTGACCTGGTGACGAGGTGACCTGGTGATGAGGTGACGAGGTGACTTGGTGACCTGGTGACGAGGTGACCTGGTGACCTTGTGACGAGGTGACCTGGTGGTGAGGTAACTTGACGACGATGTAATCCGACGTGCTAATCTGACAGCGATGTATCCTACTAGCTATGTAGCTTACTAGTGATGCATCCTACTAGCTTTGTCGCCTGATAGTTGATGCAACCTGAAGTCTGCCTCGCGAGGAGTCAATCCCAGCGCCCTTATATCCATCTCCCGCACGGGGGTGTTGACGCGGGCTTGTTGCGTCACTCCTCTTCTCCATATTACCACATCACCACCACTTCCACGCGCCTGCCTCGATGATAACAGCATTTGTAAACGGTGCAGGCGGTGTCTCGCTTAACGAGCGAGATGCGTTCCGCGAAAAGAAAATGCCCTGTCGCAAGCGAAAACTCGCCAAGCGATCGTCGCTTTTCCATTGACTGCCTCTCTCACGTTCAAAGCTGAACTACGTTTCAGCACCAAAAAGGTTCGACTCTTGAACAACATTTTTTTTTACGCGAGAAATATACACGTTATAAATAAATAACACCACAATAAAGTAATAAAACATCATATGTAACGCTAAAACCACGGATGAAGGACCACTGCTTGCAGGTGCCTGGCATTGATGTTGTCTTGAAGGGTAGATGATGTTCGCGGGTGGACAGGACCGCCGGTTCAATTATCACTCGCCACCGATGATGGTATCCGTGGTTCGGAATCGAACCAGGGTTGCTGGGTTCTTAGCCACGATGTGGTAGCGGCGGTGGCGGGGAAGGGGGAATTTCAGACGGAGCGCCCACAATGAATCAATGTCAGTCTCTCCACGTGGGATGGAGGAGGCGCGGCTGCTGCTGCTGCTGTTGTTGTTTCTGTCGGCCGTGACTCACACTCCCACCCTGCCCGACATCCGTGCAGGTGTGTTGGGGTTTCCCTTGAGTTGGAGGTTGCGTAAGGCGCCCTGATTTCCGCTCAGGTGAGGCTGGGAACGGTGGGAGGGGCGGGGTTGGAGGAGATAAGCAGCTGATTTTTAGCAAGTGATTAGCGGAACAGCGGTGTGTGAGCTGGTGTATCGCTGTGGCGTCGTCGGCCGGTGGTCTTGATGGGCAGGCAGCAGGTGAGAATGACGCTCCATCGTTTAGATTTGAAGTTTTCGTGACTGCAAGAAAAGAAAACAAATAAATTAAATCACGACGTTTCGGAGGCAACACAACACAAGTAAAGACGGAAGCTTGTGTTGTGTTGTGTTGCCTCCGAAACGTCGTGATTTTTTGTATTTGTTTTCTTTTTTAACCTACGTGACTTGACCGAAAAATCCAAAGAGTACTGCTCCATGGTTTGTTTTGCTCTGAAATCGAGGTGAAGGGCGGGCGTCAGGGCCCACAGGTGAGATAAGGTTGTCAGGGTGGTTGGGGGGGGTGGGGGTGCGGTGGGATCCAGATCCAGGTGATGGAGGTGCGTCAGGGCACCTTCCTGGGCGCGGCTCCCGTCCCTGCACGCGAAGCTTGTCGTGCTGATCTCGCGGGGAAGCGATGCGTCGCCTCGCCTGATGACTCCTTTATCCGGCTAAATAACCAAACGCCTCTGCAGAGAAAGGTGGGGGGCGCCTACCTGAACGGGGAAATTTTGGTCCGTCATGTGAGAGGATCTGCTTCTGACTCACGGCCGCAGTGTTGGTGTGGCGGGTGGGGGGGCATCACGTGAAGCAGCTCCCACCATCGCCTCTTCCCCTCACACGCAGAAGACGAACAAAATAACCGTGAAGCTAAGACACTGCGTGGGCTGTGGCGGTAGCAGACTCAAATAGCAACAGATTCGTCAGTAGCAGTGGCATAAAGAGGAGCAGATATAACAGGCGACGTTGCGGGCAATGACCTTCATTCATGTCTCTGCTATGAGGAAGGGCCATTTCCTGAAACGTCGCCTATGATATGTTTTCCTCTTCCAGGCAATGCTACTGACGAGTTGAGTGTTACAGGGTGGGTGGGTCCGCTTCCATCCTTGCCTGCGGTTGTACTTTCCTACGCCTGGGCTAGGTCCAGCAGGGGGATTGAGCCTGTCCGATGATCACTAATGCTGCGTACAGCGAGTACTCCAGGTGTCTCGCGCCAACATCAGAACTGTGGAGTGTCATTTTTGCTATAATGGCGCCAAATTCACGGACGGACCTGCCTCACTATCACATCACCGCACTGACGGGCTCGGATCAGTTCTGTAATTAGCTGTGAACAATGACACTTGTGCATTGCATGATGCGAAATAAATATATACTGTGCTAAATCTTTATTTTAGACATTGTATTTATGTTTATTGCCACATGTGTAGTGACACAGCGCAGACTGTTGGACAGTGGCAGGGACTGCAGGTGGGCACTTAGCGCACACGCCGCTGAGCAGCTACGCGGCGTGTGTGTGCCGGCAGGGCAGAGGAACTGGGGCAATGGTCACGGTAGACCTCGCGTGGAAGCCCCTGGAACGCTCTGGTGGCTAGGGGCGGAGCCAACCCGCGTCGAGGAGATTAAAAGCAGTGGAGAGCGAGAGCTCTGGGCTGCCGGTTCTGGGAGTGGCCTCGTCATCGCCGTCGTCGCTGCCGCCCTCGTCGCTTGCCGCCTTCGCCCGATCATTGCGTGGCCGGGCAGCGGTCGACTGTCCCGGTCGACGCTGTCGGTGCAACGCGGACAGGGTCGTGTCTGGGACGGGGCGCGCGGCAGCGGGGTCGTGTGTGGCGGGAGCTCGGCAACAATAAAAGGGGAAGACGGTGCCTCCTGCGACCACCTCGTCTCTCCGGCTGACTGTGTGCGCGACGCACATCACCCGCACGCACAGACGACACTACACATTGATTGGTTGTTCTGGTGGTGTATTTTTTATCAACTTGGTTCGCAAGTTCAATCATTTTGCGTGAACTTCGAGATGTTAAATATTTACTTTATTATGATGGTCGGTGCATACACACACGGTGGAGTGGTGGCGCATTGGTTAGCGCACTGCGCCCACGAGCCCAGCCACCCGAGTTCAATCCCTGGTCACGGTTTTAAAAAGCTGGCGTATGTATGGCTGAGTGGATGAGAGTGAGGGGTTTAGCGATGGTGAGTGCGCAAGAGGGTGAGGTGGAGCGATTGAATGGTCACGCCGTGCGAGTGATATCGGGAGAGTGAGCGCGTGTGAAGAGAGCGGCAGCACACAGCCCGTCCGGCTTTGAACAGCGTGGTGAAGTATGGTCAGACGAGGGGGGGGGGGGTTCGGGCGGCGGGGGGGGGCTGATTCCTCATCTTGTGATTGCACAGCCACTAGCGGATTGCAAGACAGAGTTGGTCACCACGCCGCGCGTGTTTCATAACTAATCTCATATCCGCGCTGACATGAATTACGTCTTCGCATTTCCGCAAACATTCTTACAGTAGACGTCCCGATATCTTCTTGTGAACTTAGCCATGGCGCAACGATTTTTTTTCTTTGCTTGATTTTGAGTCATCGTCTGGACTGGTGTACAGTGAGGGAAAAAAGTATTTGATCTCCTGCTGATTTTGTACGTTTGCCCACTGACAAAGAAATGATCAGTCTATAATTTTAATGGTAGGTTTATTTGAACAGTGAGAGACAGAATAACAACAACAAAATCCAGAAAAACGCATGTCAAGTTCAAGTTTATTAATTAGGTATAGCCCTGTGAACCATTCGGCTCTTGAATCAGGTGCAACCGCAACAAACAAAAAACAAAAACACGAACAAAAACATTTTATATTCATATTCCAAAGAACACAGGATGAGATGTTACTATCCTTTGTGCAAGCACTTCCAAGAGTTCATGAATTGTGAGCCTGGTGAAATTTGGGGAGCGCATCATCAGTAGTGAACCTTTGGTTCCTAGGGTGTTTCGGCCTTTCATACTATACAACTTCCCCAAAGGCGGCCAGCGACAGGGTGATCAATCCTACGCTTGCGTCCCATTCCCAATTAGTCATAGGAGTTGCCTTGTTGTTGATAGCCAACATCCCATGGGACTATGCATGGCAGGGGTGTCCTCCTCCCTGAATCAAGCATTGCTGACTGCATACCTCCTGGCCCTCTCACTTTGGGGCCCAGCTGGGGTCTTTCCTCTTCATCCAGAGCCACTGACTGCTGCCTTCTGCCGCCTCTGATACAGCTCTGATTGCCGAACGCTGGCTCTGGCCCTTAATTCCCAGGTCTCTAAGCAGTCTGGTTGTAGATGTTGCCACAAAACCTCTGCAGCCCACCTCCACTGGTCGGACTTCTGTGTTCCAGCCATGATGCCGTGCTTCGGCAGCTAGATCGGCATAGCGCAGATGTTTTCGCTCATAAGCCTCATCTACTGAGTCCTCCCAGGGTACTGTGAGCTCAATGATGAAGACCTTCTTGAGCGAACGGGACCAGAGCACCATGTCAGGTCTTAGGGTGGTGGTTGCGATCTCCGGAGGAAACACAAGTTGCCGGCCAATGTCAGCTAGCATTTTCCAGTCGCGGGCCAAGGGCAGCTGGTCTCGCTCTATTGGTGTAGAGCCGCTCTTCGGTGGTTTAGCCCCTTCGCGGACAAATGTCGTCCGTAAGGGGTGTGATGCTGCTGGGGGTGGTAGGGTGTTCGTGGCAGCTCGCTTGTCCTCCAGGGCGGACGCAAGGTTTTTAAGGACTTGGTTGTGACACCAAGTGTAGCGTCCTTGGGTGAGGCTTGTTTTACACCCTGTGAGAATGTGCCTGAGGTTGGCTGGTGTGGAACAGAGGGCACAGTCCGGATCTTCACCATACCATTGGTGAAGATTAACTGGTGTTGGAAGGACGTAATATGTTGCTCTGATGGAAAAGCTCAACCGCCTCGCTTCCATGGCCCACAGATCCTTCCAGCTGATCTTCCTCTTCTCCACACTGTCCCATCGAGTCCACTGTCCCTGTTTGGCAAGAGAGACTGCCTTGGCCCACCTTGCAGCCTCCTCCTGATGGCGTACTTCCTGCACTACCATCTTCCGCCGCTCTGGTGCAGTGGCCTTACTCCAAGCAGCACGGCTAGTTAGCCCAAGGCCTCCTCTCCCTTGCTGAACATGACCCACAATGTCAGCATGTCTGAGGGCTGCTGTTGCCTCCTGGACTGCTTTTCCTGGCCTCCATTTGCGCCCAGTTGCCAAGGTCGGCGCGTTGTTGCTCACCACTGGGTCTCGAGATTCATTCAGTGTCATCTGGAGCCTGGTTTTTGCACACTTGAATTCCTCGGTTAGACTGGTGAGGGGCAGCTTGAGGACACTATCTCCATAGAGGCCTATGGTGGTAAGGCATCGTAGAACTCCGAGCGACTTCTTTAAGTAGCTCGTGACTCCTCTTTCCATCTTCTCCACTGTTGAGATTGGAACCTCATACACTGCTAGGGGCCACAGTAACTATGTGACTGAGTGCAAACAGAAAATCCAAGAAAAGGCAGCAAAATATTGCAGAAAAAGCACCGTACACCAACACTGTGTGCAAAAATCCCAGTGGGATGCAAGTCAAACAACAACAACCACAAGACAGCTTAGATTAAGGCCATCAGTCTAACTCTGTACTACAACAAACAAACATGGCCAAAGAAAAAACTTTTCGAAAATCACCAAAATAAAGCCATAAAAGCAATGAAACAGTGGTCATAGGAACTGTGACCGAATTTTCACAATAAACGACGTAAACAACATGTACTACCAAACTCTGCAGCCATAGCTGGCTGCATGAGTCACTCCACAACAGTAGGAGCATCAGTCGGAGTATCAACCTTTTTCAATGCACCGATCATCCGGAGCGAAACATTGTATTTTAGGCCACTAAATTGCAGTGGCAGCTAGGGGTGTACAACTCCTCTAGAGCAGTTTTGAGTGAAGATCTCATAGGTAGTGACTCAAGTTGCAGTTTATTGGCAATAGCATTCCGGACTCTGGGGGC